TCCCCAAAACAAGGAAACATAATCATGTTATCCTTTCCCCTTTTTTTTCTTTTGGTTTGTTTATTAGGAAAGGTGATGGCCACTTGGCCACAATTCAACAATCTCCACCTTGGCCAAGTTCCGAAAAACGCCATGATAAGCCAACCAACACAATTAACACACAACATCACTCCCAAACACTAGCAAGAGAACAACTATGCTGAGCCAAATGCTCCAAAACTCCTACTGCTCAACGTCTTCTTTATATAGACATAATGTGAGCCAAGTTCAAACAGTGAACAAACTTGGCTACACCAACAACCTTAGTCAACATATCAGCGGGGTTGTCTTTAGTTGGAATCTTCTGGAGAATGATTTCCCCTTCACCAACAATTTCACGAACAAAGTGATAACGCACATCTATGTGCTTGGTCCTCGCATGATGAACCTGATACTTAGCCAAATAAATGGCACTCTGACTATCATAATGTACCTCCACCTGCTTCTGATCAACCCCCAAATCTCTAATCAACCCATGTATCCAAATGGCCTCCTTTATAGCTTCAGCAACTGCCATATATTCAGCCTCTGTAGTAGACAAGGCAATAGACGACTGCAAAATGGACCTCCAACAAACTGGTCCTTTAGCCATAGTAAACATAGCCGATAGTAGACTTCCTTCCATCCAGATCACCTGCATAATCTGAATCAACATAACCAACTGCAAAATGACCAATACCAGAGTCATCTCTCTCAAAGCATAAACCAACATCTCGAGTACCATGGAGATACCTCAATATCCACTTAGCTGCTTGCCAATGCTCTTTACCTGGATTATGCATATATCGACTCACCATGCCAACTGCATGAGCAATATCCGGTCTAGAGCATACCATTGCATACATCAAACTACCAACCAAATTTGCATATGGTATATTTTTCATTTGCAGCTTCTCTTTGTCAGTTTTAGGACACTGTAGAGAACTCAATTTAAAATGAGGAGCCAAAGGGGTACTAACCGGTTTGGTTGAATCATGAATTCCAAACTTCCGGATCAACTTCTCAAGGTATTGTCTTTGATTCAAACTGACCAAACCCTTCTCTCTATCTCTAGTGATCTCCATGCCAAAGATCTTCTTCGCTTCACCAAGATCCTTCATCTCAAACTCATTCTTCATTTGCTTCTTCAATTTCTCAATCTCTTCGACATTCTTTGAGGCAATCAACATATCATCAACATAGATCAACAAATAAATGAAAGACCCATCTTGCAACTTCTTGAAGTACACACAATGATCATATTGACTTCTAGAATAATTTTGGCCTCTCATAAATTTATCAAACCTCAAATACCATTGCCTTGGAGATTGCTTCAAGCCATAAAGTGATTTCTTCAATTTGCAAAACAAATTTTCCTTCCCTTTCACTATATACCCATCCGGTTGACACATATAAATAAATCTCTTCATTCAAATCACCATGTAGGAAAGCCGTCTTCACATCAAGTTGCACAAGCTCAAGATCATATTGTGCAACAAGAGCTAACATAATGCGAATTGAGGAGTGCTTCACAACCGGAGAAAAGATTTCATTGTAGTCAATGCCCTCCTTTTGTGCATACCCTTTAGCAACTAATCTTGCTTTAAATCTCACATTGCTTTTCTCATCAGCACCTTCCTTCTTGGCATACACCCATTTGCAACCGATAGCTTTCTTGCCCTTAGGCAATTTAGCTAACTCCCAAGTCTTGTTCTTCAAGAGAGAATTCATCTCATCACCCATGGCATTGCACCATCTCTTCTTCTCCTCACTCTCAATGGCTTCCTCGAAATTGGATGGAATATCATCAATGATAATAGGAAGAGCAAAAGCAACATAGTCACTATACCGAGCTGGCTTGGTAATTTGTCTCTTTCCTCTGTTCTTTGCAATAGACTCTTGAGGTGAAACTTGCTCTTCAACTTGAATAGAATCTTCAAGTTCAACTTCTTCAACATCCTCATGGTCTCCCACTTCTTCACTTGTAGTGGCTTCGACATCAGCGAAAATAGGATTTGAAGTACCAGAGGCAACTTTCTCAAGCTCCACCTGTTGGACATCTTTCACATTCTTCTCAGAGACTTTGTACATACTTTCTTCGTCAAATGTCACATCTCTACTAATTACCAGTTTCTTCATCTCTGGACACCACAACCTGTAACCTTTGACACCACTACTAAAACCAAGAAAGATAGCCTTTTTGGCTCTAGGATCAAGTTTATTTTCAGTTACATGAAAATAAGCAGGTGAACCAAAAATACGAATATGATCATAATCAGAAGAAGGTTTTCCAGTCCATACCTCCATTGGTGTCTTACCCTGAATAGCAGCTGATGGTAACCGGTTGATGATGTGACATGCATAATTAACTGCCTCTGCCCAAAATGACTTGCTTAAACCCAACTGAGACAACATACATCTAACCTTCTCAAGCAAGGTTCGATTCAATCTTTCTGCAACTCCATTTTGTTGTGGAGTTCCCCGGACACTAAAATGTCTCACAATCCCTTCCTCTTTGCAAAGTTTAAAGAAAGGGTCGGATGTATATTCACCACCATTATCCGATCTCAAAATCTTAATCTTTCTCCCAGTCTGGTTCTCAACCATTTTCTTCCAACCCAAGAAAATGCTCAACACCTCACTCTTGTGCTTCATAGTGTAGACCCAAGACCTTCTTGAATAATCATCAACAAAGGTCACGAACCAATGTCTACCACTCAAAAAGGGAGTCTTTGTAGGACCCCAAACATCTGAATGCACATAATCAAGAATGCCCTTCGTCTGATGTACAGCAGTACCAAACTTCACTCTAGTTTGCTTCCCCAAGACACAATGCTCGCAGAAATTAAGCTTACAAGTCGTGGCACCTTTTAGAAGACCTTGTTTCACAAGCCCTTGTAGAGCTTTCTCACCGGCATGGCCTAATCTCATATGCCACAGTCTAGTAGTATCTGAATCAGATATGCCCATATTTTCTGAGACTACAGATGCTTCACCTGTCACAGTGCTTCCCTGCAATAAATACAAATGGCCACATCTAGGAGCTTTCATCATAACAAGTGCACCATAAGTAACTTTCAATGTCTGTCCATCTGAATGAAACCTGAAGCCCTTGGATTCCAAAGTACCCAAAGAAATAAGATTTTTCTTCAAATTCGGTACATACCGAACACCTGTCAACTCTTTAACCATGCCATCATGCAACTTCAAACGAACTGTACCAATCCCTTTTGTTGTGCACGGATTGTCATCTCCCATGAACACAACGCCACCATCAAACTCTTTCAAGCTTGAAAACCAATCCTTGTGAGGAGTCATATGATGAGTACAACCCGTATCCAACACCCATTTAGTAGCACAATCAAATGATGAGGAAGTGGTTAAAGCAAAATCAAAAACATCTGTTTCAACCTCAGCAACATTGGCTTCAGAACTTTCTTTTCCTTTGGTCTTCAACTTAGGCATTCTTTCTTCCAATGGCCCTTATTATGACAAAAGGCACATTCATCCCTTTCCAAAGGTTTTCTACCTTTAGAGTTTCCTCTAGGTCGAGACTGTGATTTTTTTTCTACTAGAATGATCTTCTCTCCGATGATCTACCTCTAACAAATAAAGCTTTGGAGGTATTATCATGATTTTTATCTCTATGCCTCATTTCATAATTCATCAAGGCATTTGACACATCTTCAAATTTCACAGTTTCTTTACCATGCATAATAGTGGTAACAAAATGCTCATAAGAGTCCGGCAAGGAATTCAACAATATTAAGGCCTTATCTTCATCCTTAATATCCTCATCTAAATTTAACAAGTCGGCAATCAACTTATTAAAAACATCAAGGTATCTAATCATTTTTGTACCTTCTTTGTATTGAAAGCGGTAGAGCTTTTTCTTCAAGTGTAGCCGGTTCTCTGCATTCTTCTTCATATACTTGTCTTCCAATTTTTGTCACAACACACTTGCTACCGTCTCCCACATCACAAAATACTTCTGAGTTTTTGCAAGGCTCAACCGAATTAAAGAGCAAGCCAACAAATTTAATTTTTCCCATTCCGGCTTCGACATAGCTTCCGGCTTCTCTCCCAAAGCGGCAAGTAGATCTTGTTGAGCCAACATCTTTGACCTCACATTGCCACATCCCGAAATTGTTTGTGCCATCAAACTTTTCCACTTCGAACTTTGCATTTTCCACCGTAGTTCTTGCAAACCCGAAGCTGCTTCCAAAAGGATTTTCATCTTGCCCGTCTGACATCTTTGGCAACTAAACAGTACCCAAGAGCAACCAGTGTTCTGATACCAATTGTTGTGCTAGGATATCACCAAACCCATTGGAAGCAACTCAAGCTAACCCACAAGAAATTTATCAAATGAAAATGCAAGAACAAAATCTTAAAGACACCAAGATTTTAACGAGGTTCCTCAACAGTCAGTGTAACTGGAGTACGTCCTCGGAGCAGTAGGAGCTCACCCAATAATCCACTATCAACCAAATGAGAGTTTACAAAGTGTTGGCAATCTCACAACCCAAATAACCCAATACACCCAATAACTCTCACACACTAAAGAAACAAATAGAGAAAGAAATATAGTGATTAATTTCTTCTCTATACAAAGCTCAAAGCTATTACAACAATAAAACTTTGATGGAGTGAGAACTAACCAAGAAAGAAAATCACCTTTCTTTCTTATATGGGAGCTGCGTACCTCTCTTCTTCTTTCTGCTGCTCCCTTCTAATTTTTTTCTTCTATGCGACAACCTTTCTCCCACACCAAAAGGCAGCTATTGCTGCTAGTTAAAAACCAAAGAGTCTCGTGACTTCTCACATGGACCAAAGAAAAAACTTTAGACAAATTTCACTTTTCTTTTCCCCAAAACAAGGAAACATAATCATGTTGTCCTTTCCCTTTTTTTTTTCTTTTGGTTTGTTTATTAGGAAAGGTGATGGCCACTTGGCCACAATTCAACAAAAAGTTGCACGTCCTGTCCCCACAACTGAGGATCAAAATGAAGTGGTGAAATTGGGATCACCAAGTGGAGGTTAGCAGGAAGAACAAGCCTTCCCAGCCTAGTTTCCTTTTCAACTTTCCTATTGACAAGGGAAAGAACAGGAGGATATAACCTCAGAGACTCGTTCACGATCATAGTCATATGCACTCATGAAAATGAAGAAATCAGGATTTGAAACTTAAATTAAGCATTTCTGCACTTAGAAAAGCATTTCATTGAATTCTTGACTTTCTTACTGTTTTGAGATTGGAAATGCCATTGGGATCTGGAGTTTGTTTGCCGAAAAATTGCTGGACCTCCTTTCTTGCTTTCTCCTGCCATTCCGGATGGAGTGCCAAAAGAAAGACTGTCTAAGCTAGCATTGTGCCAGTACTTTCGTGTCCAGCCAAGTAAAATGTTTTGCACTCGTCAACCAAATCTTCCATTGAAATCCCTTGGTTATCATTGGTATCGTGATGAGCCTTTAAAAGTTGTCCAAGGAAATCACTCCCAAAGTTGTTTGCTTCTCGATTTATTGGGTTCCTTTCTCTTCTTTTAACAATCTCCATTAGGGAGTCCCTTATTCCTTTCTCAAGCTTCTGAAATTCAATCTCACTGCGGCTTTTAACAAACTTACTGCAATATTGATTCACTAAACGTTACCCAATGCCAGGAAATATTTTTTATTTTCACTAGTAATAAGGATTGAGGTCCAGGTAAAAGGAAGTCACCTGATGCCAGGAAACCCGGGTCTGAATGAACTTGAAAATGTTAAAGCAGATAACTTCAATAACATGTCAAAAATGTTCTTCCCTTCTACGTAGCTGCTACCAAAAGTTGTCCTAGAAATCACTTCTGAAGTTAACAACCGAAATTCTTCAAACACCTCAACCTCCTCGCCTTCATGAATTTTCCACCTTTCTAGCATTGTCTCTGTTGGAGTATGTGGCCAAGTGGCCAACTTTTGGCTATAAAAAATTATAAAGAAAAAAGGTGGACAACCACTTCCTTGTTTTGGGAAGAAAAAAAGGGTTGCTTTTCTCTTTTACCACCCGTGACTTTGGTTCTTAATAATTGTGAGGTTGGTTGCCTTTGGGAGTAATTGTGAGAAAGAGAAGCAGCCCATTTCGGTTTTGAAGAGAGGGAGATAGAGAGCATCAGAAAATAAAGGGTGCTGCATCTCCTCTTTGAAGGGAAGAAGAAAGTGCTCCTCTTCAATTGGTTAGTAATTATCCATCAAAGTAGTTGTTGTTATAATAGCTTTAAGTTATATGTATAGAGAAGAAATTATTCATTCTATTTCTTTCTCTATTTGTATCTTTGGTGTGTGTGAGTTATTGGGTGTATTGGGCTTTTGGGTTGTGAGATTGCCAATACTTTGTAAACTCCCATTTGGTTGATAGTGAATTATTGGGTGAGCTCCTACTGCTCCGAGGACGTACTCCAGTTACACTAACTGTGGAGGAACCTCGTTAAAATCTTGGTGTCTTTAATATTTTGTTCTTGCATTTTCATTTGATAAATTTCCTGTGGGTTAGCTTGAGTTGGTTCCAACGGGTTTGGTGCTATCCTAGCACAACAATTGGTATCAGAGCACTGGTTGCTCTTGGGTACTGTCTAGTTGCCAAAGATGTCAGACGGGCAACATGAGAATCCTTTTGGAAGCAGCTCCGGGTTTGCAAGAACTACGGTGCAAAATGCAAAGTTCGAAGTGGAAAAGTTTGATGGCACAAACAAGTTCGGGATGTGGCAATGTGAGGTCAAAGATGTGTTGGCTCAACAAGATCTACTTGCCGCTTTGGGAGAGAAGCCGGAAGCTATGTCGAAGCCGGAATGGGGAAAATTAAATTTGTGGGCTTGCTCTTCAATTCGGTTGTGCCTTGCAAAAACTCAGAAGTATTTTGTGATGCGGGAGACATTAGCAAGTGCGTTGTGGCAAAAATTGGAAGACAAGTATATGTCAAAGAGTGCAGAAAACCGGTTACACTTGAAGAAAAAGCTCTACCGCTTCCAATACAAAGAAGGTACAAAAATGATTAGACACCTTGATGCTTTTAATAAGTTGATTGCCGACTTGTTAAATTTAGATGAGGATATTAAGGATGAAGATAAGGCCTTAATATTGTTGAATTCATTGCCGGACTCTTATGAGCATTTTGTTACCACTATTATGTATGGTAAAAAAACTGTGAAATTTGAAGATGTGTCAAATGCCTTGATGAATTATGAAATGAGGCATAGAGATAAAAATCATGATAGTACCTCTGAAGCTTTATTTGTTAGAGGTAGATCATCGGAGAGAAGATCATCTTCTAGTAGGAAAAAATCACAGTCTCGACCTAGAGGAAACTCTAAAGGTAGAAAACCTTTGGAAAGGGATGAATGTGCCTTTTGTCGTAATAAGGGTCATTGGAAGAAAGATTGTCCTAAGTTGAAGACCAAAGGAAAAGAAAGTTCTGAAGCCAGTGTTGCTGAGGTTGAAACAGATTTTGTTGATTTTGCTTTAACCACTTCCTCATCATTTGATTGTGCTACTAAATGGGTGTTGGATACGGGTTGTACTAATCATATGACTCCTCACAAGAATTGGTTTTCAAGCTTGAAAGAGTTTGATGGTGGCGTTGTGTTCATGGGAGATGACAATCCTTGCACAACAAAAGGGATTGGTAAAGTTCATTTGAAGTTGCATGATGGCATGGTTAAAGAGTTGACAGGTGTTCGGTATGTACCGAATTTGAAGAAAAATCTTATTTCTTTGGGTACTTTGGAATCCAAGGGCTTCAGATTTCATTCAGATGGACAGACATTGAAAGTTACTTATGGTGCACTTGTTGTGATGAAAGCTCATCGATGTGGCCATTTGTATTTATTGCAAGGAAGCACTGTGACAGGTGAAGCATCTGTAGTCTCAGAAAATATGGGCATATCTGATTCTGATACTACTAGACTGTGGCATATGAGATTAGGCCATGCAGGTGAGAAAGCTCTACAAGGGTTTGTGAAACAAGGTCTTTTAAAAGGTGCCACGACCTGTAAGCTTGATTTCTGCGAGCATTGTGTATTGGGAAAGCAAACTAGAGTGAAGTTTGGTACTGCTGTACATCAGACGAATGACATTCTTGATTATGTGCATTCAGATGTTTGGGGTCCTACAAAGACTCCCTCTTTGAGTGGTAGACATTGGTTCGTGACCTTTGTTGATGATTATTCAAGAAGGTCTTGGGTCTACACTATGAAGCACAAGAGTGAGGTGTTGAGCATTTTCTTGGGTTGGAAGAAAATGGTTGAGAACCAGACTGGGAGAAAGATTAAGATTTTGAGATCGGATAATGGTGGTGAATACACATCTGACCATTTCTTTAAAGTTTGCAAAGAAGAAGGAATTGTGAGACATTTCAGTGTTCGGGGAACTCCACAACAAAATGGAGTTGCAGAAAGATTGAATCGAACCTTGCTTGAGAAGGTTAGATGTATGTTGTCTCAGTCGGGTTTAAGCAAGTCATTTTGGGCAGAAGCAGTTAATTATGCATGTCACATCATCAACCGGTTACCCTCAGCTGCTGTTCAGGGTAAGACACCAATGGAGGTATGGACTGGAAAACCTTCTTCTGATTATGACTATATTCGTATTTTTGGTTCACCTACTTATTTTCATGTGACTGAAAATAAACTTGATCCTAGAGCCAAAAAGGCTATCTTTCTTGGTTTTAGTAGTGGTGTAAAAGGTTACCGATTGTGGTGCCCAGAGATGAAAAAACTTATAATCAGCAGAGATGTGACATTTGATGAAGAAAGTATGTACAAAGACTCTGAGAAGAATGTGAAAGATGTCCAACAGGTGGAGCTTGAGAAAGTTGCCTCTAATACTTCAAATCCTATTTCTGCTGATGTTGAAGCCACTACAAGTGAAGAAGTTGGAGACCATGAGGATGTTGAAGAAGTTGAACTTGAAGATTCTATTCAAGTTGAAGAGCAAGTTTCACCTCAAGAGTCTATTGCCAAGAACAGAGGAAAGAGACAGATTACCAAGCCAGCTCGGTATAGTGACTATGTTGCTTTTGCTCTTCCTATTATCATTGACGATATTCCATCCAATTTCGAGGAAGCCATTGAGAATGAGGAGAAGGAGAGGTGGTGCAATGCCATGGGTGATGAGATGAATTCTCTTGAAGAACAAGACTTGGGAGTTAGCTAAATTGCCTAAGGGCAAGAAAGCTATCGGTTGCAAATGGGTGTATGCCAAGAAGGAAGGTGCTGATGAGAAAAGCAATGTGAGATTTAAAGCAAGATTAGTTGCTAAAGGGTATGCACAAAAGGAGGGCATTGACTACAATGAAATCTTTTCTCCGGTTGTGAAGCACTCCTCAATTCGCATTATGTTAGCTCTTGTTGCACAATATGATCTTGAGCTTGTGCAACTTGATGTGAAGACGGCTTTCCTACATGGTGATTTGAATGAAGAGATTTATATGTGTCAACCGGATGGATATATAGTGAAAGGGAAGGAGAATTTGTTTTGCAAATTGAAGAAATCACTTTATGGCTTGAAGCAATCTCCAAGGCAATGGTATTTGAGGTTTGATAAATTTATGAGAGGCCAAAATTATTCTAGAAGTCAATATGATCATTGTGTGTACTTCAAGAAGTTGCAAGATGGGTCTTTCATTTATTTATTGATATATGTTGATGATATGTTGATTGCCTTAAAGAATGTCGAAGAGATTGAGAAATTGAAGAAGCAAATGAAGATTGAGTTTGAGATGAAGGATTTTGGTGAAGCGAAGAAGATCCTTGGCATGGAGATCACTAGAGATAGAGCGAAGGGTTTGGTTAGTTTGAATCAAAGACAATACCTTGAGAAGTTGATTCGGAAGTTTGGAGTTCATGATTCAACCAAACCGGTTAGTACCCCTTTGGCTCCTCATTTTAAATTGAGTTCTCTACAATGTCCTAAAACTGATAAAGAGAAGCTGCAAATGAAAAATATACCATATGCAAATTTGGTTGGTAGTTTGATGTATGTAATGGTATGCTCTAGACCGGATATTGCTCATGCAGTTGGCATGGTGAGTCGATATATGCATAATCCAGGTAAAGAGCATTGGCAAGCAGCTAAGTGGATATTGAGGTATCTCCATGGTACTGGAGATGTTGGTTTATGCATTGAGAGAGATGACTCTGGTATTGGTCATTTTGCAGTTGGTTATGTTAATTCAGATTATGCAGGTGATCTGGATGGAAGAAAGTCTACTACAGGCTATGTGTTTACTATGGCTAAAGGACCAGTTTGTTGAAGGTCCATTTTGCAGTCATCTGTTGCCTTGTCTACTACAGAGGCTGAATATATGGCAGTTGCTGAAGCTATAAAGGAGGCCATTTGGATACATGGGCTGATTAGAGATTTGGGGGTTGATCAGAAGCAGGTGGAGGTACATTGTGATAGTCAAAGTGCTATTTATTTGGTTAAGTATCAGGTTCATCATGCGAGGACCAAACACATAGATGTGCGTTATCACTTTGTTCGTGAAATTGTTGGTGAAGGGGAAATCATTCTCCAGAAGATTCCAACTAAAGACAACCCCGCTGATATGTTGACTAAGGTTGTTGGTGTAGCCAAGTTTGTTCATTGCTTGAACTTGGCTCATATTTTGCCTATATAAAGAAGGCGTTGAGCAGTAAGAGTTTTGGAGCATTTGGCTCGGCATGAGTTGTTCTCTTGCTAGTGTTTGGGAGTGATGTTGTGTGTTAATTGTGTTGGTTGGCTTATCATGGCGTTTTTCGGAACTTGACCAAGGTGGAGATTGTTGGAGTATGTGGCCAAGTGGCCAACTTTTGGCTATAAAAAATTATAAAGAAAAAAGGTGGACAACCACTTCCTTGTTTTGGGGAAGAAAAAAAGGGTTGCTTTTCTCTTTTACCACCCGTGACTTTGGTTCTTAATAATTGTGAGGTTGGTTGCCTTTGGGAGTAATTGTGAGAAAGAGAAGCAGCCCATTTCGGTTTTGAAGAGAGGGAGATAGAGAGCATCAGAAAATAAAGGGTGCTGCATCTCCTCTTTGAAGGGAAGAAGAAAGTGCTCCTCTTCAATTGGTTAGTAATCATCCACCAAAGTAGTTGTTGTTGTAATAGCTTTAAGCTATATGTATAGAAAAGAAATTATTCATTATATTTCTTTCTCTATTTGTATCTTTGGTGTGTGAGAGCTATTGGGTGTATTGGGCTTTTGGGTTGTGAGATTGCCAATACTTTGTAAACTCCCATTTGGTTGATAGTGGATTATTGGGTGAGCTCCTACTGCTCCAAGGACGTACTCCAGTTACACTGACTGTGGAGGAACCTCGTTAAAATCTTGGTGTCTTTAATATTTTGTTCTTGCATTTTCATTTGATAAATTTCCTGTGGGTTAGCTTGAGTTGGTTCCAACGGGTTTGGTGCTATCCTAGCACAACAGTCTCAGTACTAGCTATCATCTCCGAATGCATACTCTAGTGAAACAATAGCAATATGCAATAAACAGATCCCTTCAATAAATATAATTAACACAGTGTTATAAGTTATAAACTTACTTTTAAGCTCTCTCCATGGAAGGCATGGTTGGCTAGCTTTCGCAGTTTTGACCATTTTTCACCATCAGTTGTTGTCACGAGACCATCTCCTAACAGCTTATTTGCACTGCCTAGGGGCTTGCTTTTCTGATAAGCTCCATTTTTGTTCATCAGTATCTCTTTGCACTGCCTAGGGGCTTGCTTTTCTGATAAGCTCCATTTTTGTTCATCAGTATCTCTTTGCACAGTTCAGTTTCCGTAACGACCAACAGAGGTTGATGACCATACCAGTAGAGAAAATTCTTCCCTAACATTACGGAAAATGACCAAAATTATTCTCGGAACAAAATTTAAAAAGAAAACTGAAGTCAGTTAAAGAGTTCGTTACCATATATCTTGATCCATGAGTGCATATGAGGTAGAACAATGGAAAATACATCATGTGACAAACTTTTGGGCCTGCTCATGGCTTCCTTTCTCATGCTGGCAACTTCTTTGTTGTTTCCGTGGATAAATCTGTAAGACGGGCCTTTGATTCCCTGCGAGGTCATCCGATTCTGAACTCGAATCGGAATGCACCATAGTTTGTAAAACACCTTGATGAGAACCAAGAGAAGCAAAAACAGACACACACAGATTGAAGGAATGACGTCTGGATCTCCAAACCAACTCATGGTTAGTCTTGTTTCTGAACCTATATTCTGAGCTTTTCGACACACTCCACCATTTAAGTATTGTGCTCAGTCCTCAATATAATTATTAAATTGGATACATGTGGTACTTGGTTATAAATTATCATAATTATATCATAAACCAGCCGTCATTACTGACCACTTTACCTAATCATCATGGTGACTTAATGAAAATCAGGGTGGCATTCGTTAATCAGTTAAAAGAGATGCTATGAAGACTTTCTCAAAGTAAGACTCTTCATGAATTCTTTGTCACCTCACAGTTTTACGTTAATTCTCGTTTTAACATTATAAAACATTGTGCAAAAAATATGAGGTAACAGAGAGTCCATAGTGAGTCTCACTTTTGAGAGAATAGTTGAATATCAGAGTGCGCAACGAACGAGACTAACAAAATAATATAAATATTATTAAACAACCGAGAATGCCGAAACGGCTACAAAACCCTAAGAGACTACATTGTGAATAATTTTTTTCTCAAACTAAATTACAAGCTCTATTTATAGAGCAATAAACCTAAGAAACCCTAATGCGTAAATGCCAAAAATACTCTACTACAAAATCAAACCAAATCTCTAATTAATTTCCTAAATAAACTTAATAAATTCCAACACTCCCTGTCAAACTCATGGCGATACACATCATGAGGTTGCCAACAAGCAGATATGGACTGGCTCTGTTTGGCGGACAAGCTCCGTTAGGTGGACAAACAGACAGGCAGGCTCCGCAACACGGACAGACAGACAGGCTTCGCAATGCGAACAAACAGACAGGCTCCGCAACGCGAACAGACAGACAGGCAGGTATGCAAACTTGACTTGACCTGATTCTTAACTTGATTCTTGACTTGACTTGACTTGATTCTTGATTCTTGACGGCAAACTGACAAACTGGTTCTTGATTCTTGACTAGCTAGTGTTGAAAGTATGGAAAGAACCCATCACTAAACAGACGAGATTTCCATATCTCAATTATAGTAACGAACGAACAAACACAATTATCACTCGAGTGGTCACAATTCCAAGTACTCAAATGACGGTCACAAAACAATCCCGTATAGGCCAACAACTCGTGTGAACCTAAAAACAAACTTAACCATTTTTTTCTTGTTGCCCGTGTGGACCTTAAACTAACAGCAAACAATTGTTTTTCTTTTTCCTTCTCTTTTCGATTTTTGTTTTTTACCTTCCTTCCCATTATTCTTTCCTTCTTCTTTCATGCGAACAAACAGAATCTTTATGTTTTCCTTTTTTTTCTTCTGTGCAAACAATCAATACCAAATAACAAATCTAAAACGAAAGCACAAACAGCAGAAGATGACAGAAACAAAACTGATACAAACAAATTGATACCAACGAGAACAAATTGAACCCTAAGGATCGAACCCGCTCTGATACCAAGTTGAATATCAGAGTGCGCAACAAACGAGACTAACAAAATAATAGAAATATTATTAAATAACCGAGAATGCCGAAACGGCGACAAAACCCTAAGAGACTACATTGTGAATAATTTTTTTCTCAAACTAAATTACAAGCTCTATTTATAGAGCAATAAACCTAAGAAACCCTAATGCGTAAATGCCAAAAATACCCTACTACAAAATCAAACCAAATCTCTAATTAATTTCCTAAATAAACTTAATAAATTCCAACAAGAATCACCTTAGCATTTCTCTCAATTCAATACATATGAAAACGCAGCTGTTTATTTTCTAAAGTCACCAGCTAAAAGAATCACCTTAGCATTTCTCACAGCAGAATTTGCACTCTGTATAAGTAAGAAGCTACCATGTCTGAAGGCATTCGGTTGGTAATCGGTACCAAAAGCATATAATAAAAAATAAAGGACATAATGATGTGAGAACATCATTATGAGGAGATAAATGATTATATTTGTTGAAAAGAAAAAAATGAAGGTCATGATGATGTTTGTAAAGGAATGGTTATTCTTTTACTTTGGATTTTTTATTGTGTGGTTTTGTATGGATGAAGTTATAATCCGTATGTGAGAGAAATGAAGTGTGCACCATTTTTTGTTTTAGTAGCCCATCTTTGAGAGAGCAAAGGAAGCTGCAGAGAGCAGAATACTAAGAGTAGAAAAAGAAGAAGAAGGTGCTATTCTTTTTTGTTAGTAATTACCTACCAAGGTAGTTGTTGTTATAATAGTTTTGAGCTTTGTATAGAGAAGAAATTATTCACAATATTTCTTTCTCTATTTGTTTCTTTGGTGTGAGAACTATTGGTTGTATTGGGGTTTTTGGGTTGTGAGCTTGCCAACACTTTGTAAACTCCCATTTGGTTGATAGTGGATTATTGGGTGAGCTCCTACTGCTCCGAGGATGTACTCCAGTTACACTGACTGTTGAGGAACCTCATTAAATTCTTGGTGTTCTTTTATATTTTGTTCTTGCATTCCATTTGATATATTTCCTGTGAGCTAGCTTGAGTTGGTTCTAACGGGTTTGGTGCTATCCTAGCAGAACACACAAAAGGGTGATAATGTGGCTATATTAGTGTTAGTAGCTTTACCAATCCCGTCTGAGAATCGTTCTGGCTTGAAAAGGTGCACATCTTGTCCCCAAAATTCAGGCTCAAGGTGAAGTGCTAAACATGGGATGATGAGATGAGATCAATATTAGCGGCAATGATGAGCTTTCCCAGTTTAACTTCCCTTCCAGCTTTCCTCCTAAGGGAAACCGCGGGACGGGAGGATATAACTTTAGAAACTCGTTGATGATCATATTCATCTGCATCAAAATGAAAAACCGAATAGAAGTAATCCTTTTCATACTTAAATTATTAACATTTATGCTACTTCAAAAATACCATATATCTTGGTCCATCCGTGAATATGAGGTTCAAGTACAGAGGTATGTCCGTGCGATAAATTTTTCAGCCTGCTCATTACTTCCTTCGCCATGTTGGAGATTTCATTGGCATTTCCATGGTTGAGTACGTAGGAAGGGCGTCTGATCCCCTGCAAAGCCATCAACTTCTGTATGCAAATCGGAGTCCACCATATCTTGTGAAGGATCCTGAAGAGAAATAGGAGAAGGAACATGCACAGAGAGCGTGAACGAATTATTAGCAATTCCCTCTAAGAACCCATTTTCTTCTTCTTCTTTTTTATGTTCTTTTGTTATTGTTAAAAATAAATAGTATAACAGATGGTTCCCTTCATCTCATAATTCTTTATTCCATCTCTAAGACATGATTTTACATAGAATTACATCTTATACCAGATGATGCGTCTTTTGTTTTTAATTGAAAATTAAGGCATAAATGTCTCGAACATATGGATACACCAACTGCAGGGTTTATGGGAAGTTCACAAGAGGGTGTAGAATGATTTGAACTCCATGTTGTGGGCGAAGTATGAACCGAACGTGCGAGTGGACATATGCAGGGGAAAGAGTGAATCTGTAGCGTTCTAAAATCTTTGACAGAGCAATCTTCACTTCAATGATTGCAAAATCCATACCCACACAAGTCCGAGGTCCCATTCCAAAGGGTATGTATGTGGCTATGTTATTGTTAGTAGCTTTAGCAACTCCTCGTGCGAAGCGTTCGGGTTTGAACAGTTGCGCGTCTTGCCCCCAAAATTCAGGCTCATGGTGGATTGCTAGAATTGGGATGACCAGTTCAACATTAGCAGGAATAATGAAATTTCCCAATCTAACCTCCCTATCAACTTTCCTCTCCATGGAAACAGCAGGAGGATATAGCCTTAGAGACTCGTTGATGATCATACTCATCTGAATGCAATGACAAGAAAAACTAATTCGAAAACACACCAAAATTAAATTGGGATTCCAAACTTAGAAGCACTTATTTGATTTACTTTCTTACTGTTTTTAGTTTGGCAATGCCCTCAGGACTCGGATTTTGTTTTCCAACTAATTCAAGAACCTCCCTTCTTGCTTCCTCTTGCCAATCAGTATGGACTGCCAGAAGGAATACAATCCAAGCAAGCTCAATATTAGTGGTTTCTTGTCCAGCAAAGTAAAACGTCTTGCACTCGTCGATCATATCATCCACGGATATCCTCTCCTTCTCATTGGCATCATGATGAGCCTTCAAAAGTAATCCAAGATAATCACTTCCAAAGTCGTTATTGTTTCCCCTCGTTGCCTTTTCTTCTCTTTTCTCTTAATAATCTCAAATAGGGACTTGTGCATTCTTTTCTCAATTCTCTCTGCTTCAGCCTCATCACTTGTTTGATACAATTTACTGCATTGTTCAGTGAAACATCAAACATGATAAGTGATTAAGATATAAATAATAGCTACCCAATTACAACTTCATCAACATCTCAAAAATGTTTTGTCCTTCACCATGGTTGCTTCCAAATGCTGTTTTTGCACACTTCTGAAGTCAACAACCTAAGTTCTTCAAACACCTCAATCTCTTTGCCCTCATGATTTTTCCACCTTTCTAACATGGTCTCGGTACAAGCTACCATATATTAATTGTACCTTTATGGCCAAACGTTATATCATATATTTCTATTTTTAGTTTGCACCTATTTTTAATTTGCAACCTTTTTTTTTTTAAATTGTACCAATTTTCTTTTCAGTTTTAATTTGTATCCATATATTAATTTATTTTTGTCCCCATATTTTTTAAACTTTGATTTGTACCCATAATTTATTTATAATGTACCCATTTTTCTTTAAAAATTTACTACTTCGTTATATGCAAAATGTACCAATTTTTTGTTTTGTAAGTACCATTTTTTTTATGTAAAATGTACCCAATACCCTTTAATTTATATAAAATGTACCAATTTTTTGTATGTGAAATCTACCCACATTTTTATATAAATGTACCAATTTTTTATATGTAAGATGTACCCAAATTTTATTATATAAATGTACTCATATTTTGTAGAAAATATAAAAAAAATGATATATTTTTTTTTTATAATCTAGAATGCACCCATAAGCAATATTTTTTGCTGAAACCCATAAGCAAATTTCAATAATTAAATTGGTAGCGTAAATGAAAGCAAAATAATGGTTTGAGTCTTTATTGGTATTATTGCATCTCTTTTGTTATCACTTCATCTGTGTGGCAGGAGAGATACTTCAATCTAAAATGCATATGGTTTGAGTCTATAATAGTTAGGGACCAGCTAGGGACCACAACTAATCTATCCCAAAACAAAATATCCCATCATGCATGCTGTCAGCAAATTTTCCTTGCAATTTAGTCTTTTTTTTCTTTTTCTTTTTTTTTTCCATACGATGCATGGACATGGACATGGAGATATATGACACGGAGAAACGTCAAATTAGCAAGAAAAAATTGTTGGATAACCACATGGGAATGCGACTGACATGAAAATACGACACGAGACTGGAACACGAGAGGATATCATCTTGTCCATCCATCGTAGTTTTTTCCTTTTATAAAAACAACAATACCACAACAATATATCACCAGAAAGTAGCTTAATGAGGAAGAACTTACTTTCAAGCTCTCTCCATGGAGGGCATGGTTTGCGATCTTTCGCAACTTCATCCATTTCGCAACATTTAATGTGGTCGCCATGCCATCTCCTAATACCTTCTTCTCAAAGTTACCGAACTCTTTTTTCGGATAAGCTCTGTCTTTGTTATTGAGTATCTCTTTGCACAACTCTGGTTCCATAATTACCAACTGAGTTTGAGAATTATGCCATTATAAATCTTCCCTGAATTTGCATGCAAAAATTACCAAAACTTACCTTCAAACTAAATTTTAGAAAATGATCATTTTGGCTTCGGTCCCTAATAAACCTAATTGTTAGAATATGACCTTATTTGTTTAAATAGTTTTGATCAAGGTGCCTAGCATCATTTAAGAGATTTAACTCGTGCATTTATCCATTCAATATCCCACAAATGATGAAATTTAAACAAATCCAAATAATATTGTTTACAAATCTAACATTTACTTAAAAATCAATAATAGAGTGATTTGTTCTTCACATAGTTCTAGCCAAAAAAATGTACCCACATAATTATTAATATAGTGCAAGAAATAACTATTGATATATTTTAAAACATAAAATAAACACATATAATTAGTATGGATAAGTTCAGAAAAAAAATATTGGTACAAATTAAATTTAAAATATGGGTACACATTAAAATTCAAAACTATGGGTACAAATTAGATTGAAAATATGGGTACATATTAAAATTCAAAATTATGGGTATAATTTAAAACTAAAATTATTGGTATAAATTAAAAAAAGATACAAATTATAAATAGAAATATATTAAAAAATACTAAAAATATTATATTTGAAAATGATTAATAATTGTTCATTTTTAAATTGACATATAATGACTTGTAAATAATTTAATATTCAAATAATAACATGAAAAAAAGTCAAGAGATCTGGATAAAAATAAAAAATGAATAAGGTTTTAATTAATGAAATGAGAAATGAGGTGTACGAAACTAATTTATCCTTTGAAAAAATACAATAAAGGAAAAAGTTTTATATCCACCACTGACCGTATATATTGGTCCATGTGTAAACGTGAGGCTGGACTGCACATACTATATCATGCGACAAATTTTTGGGGCTGCCCATGTTTTGCTTCTGCATTCTCAAAATTTCTTTGGTGTTTCCATGGACGAGTCTGTAAGGAGGGCCTTTGATTCCCTGCAGAGCCATGAATTTCTGTATCCGAGTCGGAGTCCACCATAGTTTGTGAAAGATTTTGACGAGAGCTAAGAGAACCAGAAGGACCAGACACAGAAGGCCTGAAATAGTAGTCATGATCAAAACTTCTTGAAGGCTAGGGTTCATCTGGCAAGTAAATGGAACTGAAAGTAATATAAACAGATGATTATACACACACACACACACACGTGGTGAAGGTTTATGAACTATGAGTTACGAGCACTCAAACACGTTTTCTACATGCACAGACTTGTCTTCTTGTGTAGCAGTTGTTGGAGGTTTCATCTGCCAAGTTCCCAAAATGCAGAGATCCCCTTCCTTCTTCTCCTCTCACATATTATTTTTTGTCTTATTGTCTCTATAAAAAAATCAATATAAGATGTTGACGTGGCTAAACCATAATCGTTTAAATAGGAGAGGAGGGAAGGGGAGAGAGATTATGAGAGGAGAGAATCATCCTCCATTTGAATTTTGAGAAATGTCAAGGAAACTCTCTCAAAATTGAATTTTTTTATGGATTCTCTTGCCACCTTATTTTTCTAGTACAATGTTTTAGAATATTAATATAAGGATTAACGTTAAACTATGAGATGACATAAAATCTATATAGAGTTTAACTTTTAAAAGAGTTTCTTAGTATTTCTCTTGAGTTTTTTTGTTTGCCTAGTGATTCCTGTGCTTACCCGAGTGGAGCTTTTCCCATGGTTTGATTGTACTCCCGAATTGTAGCGATATTATAGAGCCATGACAATCTTCATCCCCTCCTCAAATTCTCATGAATTCATTTTCTAAATTCTCATACCATTCATTCCTCAATAAATCTTGCATGTGGTCTAATATCTTTTTGTGTAGAGTGTTGGGTTTACACCCATGCGTTCTGAGTTTGAAACTCCCTCGTATCTAAATTATTACAATAATTTTGAACATTAATAATAAAAAAATTTAAATAAAAAAATTCTTCAAGAAAATCAATAAGAACTTATAACCAGAAATGCTTATTATTTAAGAAGTACTTGGATATTTTTTGCTAAATTTCCAACATGTTTATATAAGTTGTTCTAGCAAAAACGTTTATTAAAAATAAAAAATAAAAAATATTTCCTACAATATTAGTTCTTTACCGGTCGCGGTTCCAAATTGGCCCGCCTTCGGTAAATTCTACTGGGCCTCTTTGCCAGAATTTGTACATGGAATCCAGTCCAAAGCAGTCAAATATCTGGCAAAGCTTAGCCTCCATGCAAGAAAAGGTATTTCGGCCTCGCAAAATAGCGAGCAGTTTCGGGCATGGAGATTGCAATTTAGTGCAGCTAAAGTCTCAAAAATGACAAAGCTATATATTCAAGTTACTCAATGTGTGTGTCCTTATCATGTCTCCACGACAAAACATATATTTCGTTTGGCCGTCTAGAAAAGCAAATTACGTTTGTCTTTTTCTGTTTAACTCAGACAAATTTGAAAGAATATATATAGAAAAAGACTTATGAATTGTGAACACAAACTACTGATGAACCGAGCCTATTAATTTCATGTTGAAAACGGCAATTTCTAGGTCTAAACACGTGTAAAGCGTGTTATTTAATTGCATACTTAATTAGTAGTATATATACAATATACAATATCAACATCATCAATTTCGTGCTTCTAAGTGTATGAAGTGAAAGCTTAGATAGTGGCTACCTCACTTTCTTGTACATCAACTTCCCTTTCAGTAAGGCTGATCTTTCAAATTAACAAACAATACAAACTAAAGAAGGTAATTGCCAGACATATAGCTTTTTTTTGGGGGTGTGCTATCCACACACCCCATTTTACTTCTCACACACCTTTTGATGATTTATGTCCGTTAATCTTCTTCAATTCATCCGATCTGAAGGCCGAAAATTAAAAAGGTGTGTGAAAAGTAAAATGGGATGTATGGATATCATATCTTTTTTTTTATGTTTTTTGGGCCTGGATATTCTTGTTTTCTAGGCCTGTGCAGCCTGGGATTTGGTCCTAGTAGTTCAATTCTCTTTTCAATTGTATCAATTTACGATGGCAAGATTCACAAACCTCATGTTTTTTTTTTTTTTTTTTAACTTTTGTGCATTTACCACTCAGACAAAATAAAATAAAGATTACAATTAATCCCCTAGACTTAACATGCCACATACATTCAATTTTCATCCATAATTTCATTAAGTTTCATCAAGGTAGTGCTATTTACACTCTTTTGTTTTTTTCCATGTACTTCTCAATTTTCAATTGTTCAAATTGAATAAATTGAAAAGAATCAAAAGTGAAGAAAGTTGAGGTTCTACCATAAAACTAATTGGCAATATGGAGAGTAACCCAACCTCTTATAAGCCTATGCAAGGTCCCTCCTCCCATTAGCTAAGATTCATTCGCAATACGCTCCTCTCACGTGTGGCGAATTTCTAAGCCTAATACGTTGACAACACAACGAGGTGGAGCAAGTGTAGTTGTTGGGCTTCACACGTGGGACAACATGCTCTGATACCATGAAGAAAGTTGAGGTTCCACTATAACACCAATTGAAAATATGGAGAGTAGTCCAACCTTTTATAAGCTCATGCAATGTCCATTCTCCCATCAATGTGTGACTCATTCTCAACACGACCCCTCACGTGTGACAAATTTTCAAGCTTAATACGTGGACAACATAACAGGTGACGTGGAGTGCGTGTGGCCGTTTGGCTTCACACGTATTAGGCTTGAAAATCCGCCACCCATGAGGGGGTGTGTTGAGAATAAATCACGCATTGATGAGAGGAGGGATCTTGCATAGACTAATAAGAGGTTGGGCTACACCTCATATTGTCAATTGGTTTTATGGTGGAACCTCAACTTTTTTCATGGTATCAGAGCATGTTGGTTCACATATGAAGCTCAATGGCCACACGTGTTTCACGTCACTCCGTTTGTGTTGTCCACATCATCTAAATTAATAGAATGTGTACAAAAGATAAAAATATGTGTGAATCATATAGTCCACATCACCTAAATTAATAGAATGTGTACAAAAGATAAAAATATGTGTGAATCATATCATCCTTCATCAATCCCCAAGTTGAATGAAAGTGGAAAAAAACCCGACCATTTCTCCATTATCATCTATTAGATCATGTTCATCACAAACAATCGGATCTATTAAGTTCATACCCGTTTTATAATATACATATATATATTGCTGGAATATTTATCGAAGACACTAAATCTGTGTACTCAGCAGTCGGTACTCCATTCACCAAGTCCAGGAAAAGTTTATGGGCAGTCCACAAGAGGATGTAGAATTACTTGAACTCCATATCGCGGACGAAGCGTAAGAAGCTGAAAAGGCGAGTGGGTGTAAGCAGGGGAGAGACTGAAGCTGTACCGCTGTAAAATCATCGACAGTGCAATCTTCGCTTCGTTGGCTACAAAGTTCATGCCTGCACAAGTTCGAGGTCCCATTCCGAAGGGCATGAATGCACCCATATTATTGTTGGTAGCTTTAGCAACCCCGTCTGAGAATCGATCTGGTTTAAAAAGTTGCGCGTCAGGTCCCCAGAATTCGGGCTCATGGTGAAGTGCTAGAATCGGAATAACCAAATCTAAATTGACAGGAACCATGAACTTTCCCAACCTAGCTTCCTTTTTAACTGTCCTTGAAATAGAAACAGCGGGAGGATATAACCTTAGAGACTCGTTGAGGATCATACTCATCTGCATGCATGAAAACAGAAAATTATATTGTGACAATTAAAAAAGAAATTAAAAATTGTGTGACATTAGTTAATTCTTAATTTCTTACTGTTTTTAGTTTCGAAATGCCATCAGCGTTCGGTGTTCGTTCTCCAAAGATTTGTAAGACCTCCTTTCTTGCTTTCTCTTGCCAATCCGCATGGATAGCCAGAAGCAAGACAGTCCAAGCAAGCAAAACAGTAGTGGTTTCTTGTCCAGCAAAGTAAAACGCCTTGCACTCGCTGATTAAATCTTCCACCGATATCCTCTGCTTGTCATCGGCATCATCATGATCCTTCAAAAGTAGTCCAAGATAATCACTCCCGAACCTGTCTTCTTCTCCATTCCTTAATATTGCCTTCTCTTTTCGTTTCTTAATAATCTCCATTACCGAGTTGTGCAGTGCTTTCTCAATTTTCTCCGCTTCTATTTCATCACTGGTTTTATAAAACTTACTGTAATATTTGAGTGAAATTAATTAGACAGTCTAGGGGTACTCCCCTTGCACTTGTAAGTGAGAAGTCTTAGGTTCGACTCTCGCCAAAGGTGAATTTGAACCAAATTATCGCTAGCCTATTGTATTATCACTAGCCTATTGTGAGGCTAAGCCTATTATGATTAGGGAAAAGAGTATATTGGATACCTGATAAGGGAGTATATTATTTACCTGATACCGGGAAACCTGACTGTATAAAAGTTCTTGAATGCAAAGAAGCTTAGCTTCATTAACAACTCAAAAATGAGCTTTCCTTCTAAGTAGCTGCTGCCAAAAGCTGTTTTGGAAATCACTTCTGAAGTCATCAACTTAAATTCTTCAAACACCTCAATTTCTTTGCCTTCATAGTTTTTCCACCTTTCTAGCATCGACTCGGCACTAGCTACCATTGCTGGAAGCATACCCTAGTAAAAAAAAAAAAAATTAATAATAAAATAAAATAAAATAATATATATATATACAAGTCAAATAATTGTATCAGAGTTTCCACAAATTGTAAGGAATAATAATAGCTTACTTTTAAATTCTCTCCATGGAAGGCATGGTTTGCGAGCTTTCGCAATTTTGTCCACTTTTCATACTCGGGTGTTGTCAGAACGCTATCTCCAAGTAGCTTCTTGGGATAGTCTTTGATCTTTGATTTTGGATAAGCTCTATCTTTGTTTTGGAGTATTTCCTTGCACAATTCAGGATCTCTAATCACCAACTGAGGTTGAGAACCATGCCACTGAAGAAAATACTTCCCTGTTGTGTGCAAAAAAATGACCAACATTAAATATTCGGAACTAAATAAATTTAACTAAGAACGATAAGATAATTAATTAATGAAGTTAAGAGTTAAGATTTTAGTTACCATATACGTTCGTCCACGAGTGAAAATGAGGTAGAACATGAGATAATATGTCATGTGACAAACTCTTGGGACTGCTCATTGTTTCTTTTTTCATGCTGGATATTTCTTTCGTGTTTCCATAAACAAGTTTGTAAGAAGGGCCTTTGATTCCCTGCGAAGCCATCAGTTTCTGCATGCGAGCCGGCTTCCACCATAGTTTGTGAAGGATGCTGATGAGAACTGAGACAAGGAAGAAGCACAGAAAGCCCTCCAAAGAACTCATAATTTTCTCTTATAGCTCTCTAAACCTAGCTACTGTGGTTTTAAGTTTCCTAGCTACTTAGGTTTCCTTACTGGATATTTCTTTCGTATTTATAGCATGAGCCGTCACTCAGAAACCGCTAGGGTTTCGTCCGCGGAAGGAGCCAAGTATTTTCTGAATCAAAACACATATCAGTGTCATGGAGCTCTATATTTGGAAATGTATGTCTCCTTGCTTTGTCAGCAATGGCTATCCTTGTTGGGAAATGGTACATTCTTACACGCCTTATATAGCTCTAGCTTTTCGGAAATTAAAGTATATAAGTTATTTCCATGTGAAAAGATTTTTGGCTTGCAAATAAGTGAGCAACATTTCTGGTGGTGTATCCATTATTTTCCATACATGGAGACTACAAGTTAGGGCGGCTAAAACCTCATAAATGACATGACGTACTCAATGTGCTTGTCCTTATCATGCATACACATATCTTTCAACTTGACTGCCTAGAAAACCAAATTACGTGGGCACTTGAAAAAGTCAATTACGTTCACCGCCTTCTATTTAACTCAAACAAATTTAAAAGAATACATATAAAAAAAAAAGACGTATGAATCGAGCATGCAAACTATTGATGAATTGAGCCAACATATGTCATGTAGAGGCTGCTAAATGTATGTCTAAACACATACAAGACGTGTTATTGAAGTGGTATATTTGTATACAATATCAACATCATCAATATCGTGTCCCTAGGGTTTGACGGTGTTCTGTCGGCGTCGTCCCAGGCGGCGTCGTCCCGGCGCCGTTGTTGAATCTTCCACATCGCCATCCGTTGGTCTTGGTTCGTTATTTCGCTGCGCTGGTTACTCTTCGGTGTTGAAGATTGGCTGCTGTTTGCGAACTGCGATAACCCGCAATTGGGGTTTTTAATCTAAAGCAATTCTTAGGGTCTTGCTGCACCTATACTGCACCAACAGACTCTGCTTTTGAAGGATTTTCAACAATTGGTTGCACCTACACACTTTTCAACAGGTTGAACTATCTAATTTTATATTTAATTTTTTTTTTTTTTTTTTTTATATTATTATTTTGGAATGCATTTTGTTCTAGGTTAATCTCTTGGTTTCCATGGACAAGTCACCCGTTGCCTTATGCCCATGGGGATTTCTTGACTTCTCTGCTACTTCTTCCAAATTGAATACTGCCACTGGTCAATTATCCGGACAACTTCCAAAAGCACGAACCTTTGCTGCCATTGTCACAAATGGTGTGGAAACTTCAGTTAATTTAAGTCAACTTCCCTCTCCTACTGTTCGGGGAGATGTGACTTATGTTAAAATCAGTGAGGACCTTTATCAAGAACAATTACGTTCATGTCGAACAAACCTCATTGGTAGGCTTTTGTTAAAAAAAGGAACGATGCCGATGAAGACTGAGCTTCTCAAGAGTGCTTTGGCTTCTTTATGGAAGCTTCACAATTCATGGAAACTGGTACCTCTTGGCAAGGGCTATTTTGATCTTCACTTTTCCAGCGAAGAAGATATGAGAAGAGTGTGGGGTGGTGGAACCTGTACACTTCAATTTGGTCTTTTTAGGCTGTCTCAATGGCAACCAGATTTCAAACCTGGTGATGTCCTTCCCCAAACACATGCTCAGGTATGGATCAAAATATATGGCCTAAGTCAAGAGTATTGGCACCCTCGCATTCTTATGGAAATTGCTCGTGGGGTGGGTACCCCACTCCAGTTGGATCATGCTACACGTGAAAAGTTATATGGTTATTATGCTAGAATTTTGGTCGATGTGGATCTTTCTGCTGATTTGCCTTCGACTATTATGGTTGAGCGGGAACAACATGGTTTTTCTGTTGATATTATTTATGAGAATTTGCCACCAACCTGTGGTCATTGTGGTGTAATTGGCCATAATACAAACAAATGCCGGCATTTAAAGGGTAATCATTCTGATGGGATGCATCCGCATGTTGAGGCGCATCGTCGTGGACGATCACCAACTCGTCAAGTTTATCGTCCAAAACCATCGGCTAAGACTGTTTCTCCTCCAGGTGATACTATACACATGGAACGTTCCCCTTCAGTTGAAATTCTTCACAATAATCGTTCTACTGGACTTAATAATGATATGGGAGCCCCACTTTGTAGCTCTCTTGAGCAACGCCATACTGAACAAGTCAATGATTTTGCGAATCAAATACTAATGACTGTTGTGAATAATGAGCTAAGTGTGTTGGCTGACAAGGTCATTGATTCATCAACAGATCCTCATGGTCACCTAGAGACAATTTCAGATAGACAGCTTCTAAAGGTACAACCAACCAATATTATTAATGATTCCCCTTCTTGCAACTTGAATGATACTCTTTCAGAGGAGATGAGAGATGAGCCTTCGGAAGAAATTAATATCGACCACAATGTTGATGTTGATGTCCCACCTGGTTTTGGTTTGAGGAAAGAGATCAATGTTGTGGATGCAGGGAAGGATTCAAATGACTTTACTCTAGTTCTTAGTAAATCCCAGCAAAAGAAACAAAAGAAAAACCAAAAAGTTGATGCATGTAGGCAAGAAGAACCCTATGTTACAAGGGCAGGAAGACAAGTTATTTCTACCTCCAAATGAAGCTAGTTTATTGGAATATTCGCGGTATTGGTAATTCCGATACACGTACGGAGCTTTCTAATGTTTGCCACTCTCATCATCCTGACTTGGTTTGCATCTCTGAACCTATGGTTACTTTTGATTCTATTCCTTCTGCTTATTGGAATTCATTAGGTCTCTCTTTACTTACTATCAATAACAGGGATGATTTATTGCCTAATATTTGGGTTTTGTACTCTACGGACTATTGTTCTCCTACTGTGATTTCTTCTTCAGGGCAACAAGTTACTTTTCAGACTTCTTTTGAGGGTGTTCTTTCTCAGTTTACTATTGTTTATGCGGCTACTACCTCGACACTTCGTCGTGTTTTATGGTGTGACCTCTTAAATATCCGTTCTAATACTACAATGCCGTGGATGGCAATTGGTGACTTTAATGCTATCCTTGGAGCGCATGAGCAAATGGGTGGTCACTTGCCTGCTCGAACTTCATGTGAGGACTTTCGCAGTACTACTGAGCTTTGTGACTTTACTCATATGGATACTACTGGTGCTTTTTACACTTGGACTAATGGTTGGAATGTCCGTGGTTATATGGAGAGGCGTCTTGACCGCTCTCTTTGTGACACACGTTGGTTACATTCTTGGCCTTATACTAGTTGTTGTGCTTTACCCAGGGTCGTTTCTGATCATAATTGTCTAGTTTTCTCGGCTTCTGCTATTCGTCTTGGAGGTCCGCGACCTTTTCGGTTTCAGTCCATGTGGACTTTACATTCAGAATTTTCTGGTTTGGTTGCTAAGTGTTGGCAATCAACTGTTGTCTATGGGTGTCCCATGTTTGTTATGTTGGAAAAGCTTAAGGCCCTTAAGCGCTGTCTTCGAGTTTGGAACTCTACTGTTTTTGGCGATGTCCATAGAAATGTCACTTTTGCTAAAGAAAGACTTCAGAATATCCAAAATAGTATTTCTTCTGATGGGAATTCGCAAGAGAAGTTTAATGAGGAAGTTGTGGCTAAGACGGCTGTCCTCGATGCTCTTCAGATGCAAGAAGCTTTTTGGCATGACCGTGCTCGAGTTAAATGGCTCACTGAGGGTGATCGTAATACCGCTTTTTTCCATGCTTATGCTCGAGGTAGGCATTCTTCCTCCAGGATTGTAAATCTTTTAGATGGTGAAAATGTACTCTCTTCACATACTGCTATTGTTGATCATGTGGTAAACTTTTATCAGTCTTTATATAATTCTTCGTTCACCCCAACTGGAATTGAGGATGTTTGTGGTGTAATACCACCTATGGTTAGTGAAGAGGAAAATCTTTCTCTTTCTTGTTTACCTTCAGCAGATGAAATTAGAAGTGTTGTCTTTTCTATGGATCCTTCGAGTGCTCCGGGACCTGATGGTTTTCCTGGTTCCTTTTATCAGTCATGCTGGGATATTGTTGGTTAGATGTGATTGCTTTTGTACAAGATTTTTTTAAGCGTGGATGGCTTTATCCCAATGCCAATTGCAATTTTGTGGTGCTTATCCCTAAAGTAGAAGGTGTTGCCACAATTGCTCAGTATCGGCCCATTGCTCTTGCTAACTTTCTGTTCAAAATTATCCCCAAGATTCTTGCTGATCGGCTCAGCCCAATTGCCACTCGCATTATTTCTCCTCAACAAACGGCATTTTTGAAAGGTAGACGTATTTCTGATTGCATTGGGCTAGTTTCAGAAGGGTTCAATTTTATGGACAAAAAGGCTTTTGGAGGTAATGTAGGCATAAAAGTCGACATCGCTAAAGCTTTTGATACTTTGAACTGGGATTTTCTTCTCCATGTGCTTTCTAGTTTTGGTTTTTCTAGTATCTTTGTGGATTGGGTGCGGGTTTTATTACAGTCAGCTCGCCTTTCAATTCTGGTAAATGGCACACCGCATGGGTTTTTCTCTTGCTCCCGAGGGGTACGTCAGGGTGACCCTCTTCTCCACTTCTTTTTTGTCTAGCAGAGGAAGCTTTGAGTAGAGGTTTATCTTCGCTTTTCTCTACTAGAAAGATTACTTCTATTTCAGCTCCGCGAGGTTGTTGCCCTCCTACTCATGTGTTATATGCTGATGATCTTTTCATTTTTTGTCGTGGGAATGTTCGATCTCTTTGTTCTCTTCGAAATTTCTTGGATAAGTATGGTTGTGCATCGGGGCAACTTGTTAATGCATCTAAGAGTACTTTTTATCTTAGCTCTTCCTCAGCCCATCGTAAAGCTCATGTTTCTAGGCATCTTGGCTTTCGTTTGGGTGTTGTTCCTTTCACTTATCTTGGGGTACCCATTTTTCGAGGTAAGCCAAAGAGAATTCACTTTCAAGCTTTGGTAGACAAGGCTAAAGCTCGCCTCTCGGGTTGGAAAGGTAAACTTCTCTCAATGGCTGGACGATTTCAATTGGTACAGTCTGTTTATCAAAGCTTATTTCTCCATAGCTTCTCTGTTTATCAATTGCCATCTTGCATTTTAAAGCATCTTTCTGCTTGCGCAAGGAATTTTATTTGGTCAGGGGATTTATCTTCCCGAAAATTGGTAACAGTTGATTGGAGTATGGTGTGTGGACCTAAAAAAGAAGGTGGGCTTGGTCTTCGTGATTTAGCTTCTTTGAATTTAACGGCTTTGCTTAGTTTTGGATGGGATGCTTTACAATCTTACTCTTTGTGGGGTTCTTTTGCTCGTCAGCGTTTTCCTCTTTCGCCTTACAGAAATCAAAATATCTATTTACGGTCTTCTGTGTGGCATGGTTTGAAGCGTGCTTTGCCTATTTTGAATAATAATAGTCGTTGGATTATTGGTGATGGGAGGTCAGTTTCCTTTTGGTTTGACAAATGGTTGGATGAGCCTATTATTAGTCCTTCTTTATTTTCGGTCATTTCACCTAAGGTTCTTCCTCGGGTTTCAGATGTTATTGAAGCACAAAGTTGGTCTTTGCCAGATTATTTTTCAAATTTATTCCCTTCAATTGTGCAACAGATTTTACGTCTACCTTTGCCTTTAAATGCTAAGGATGACAAATTGATTTGGGAGCCCTCACCTACTGGGAAGTTTTCTTTTTCTTCTGGTTATCACCTTATTCGAAGGAGACATAGTGATTGTGCTTGGGCTAAGGTTATCTGGCAACATTTTATTCCGCCACGACTATCTATTTTGGCTTGGAGGCTTTTTTCATGATAAACTTCCTACAGAAGATGCGTTACAACGACGTGGTATTTCTTTGGCATCCATTTGTTGTTTATGTCATAATTCTGAAGAATCTACTGCTCATCTTTTCTTTGGATGTCGGATATCTAGGCAACTTTGGAGGTGGTTAGCATGTCAATTTGGTACATCTTTACCTCTTCCAGATTCTTTGGTTGCTTTTTGGGATGTATATGTTCGTAAGCCATTTTCCAAACAATTGCACAATCTATGGATTTTTGCGGGTCTTTCTACTATTTCAGCTATTTGGAAGGCTCGAAATAAATTTATTTTTGAGGGTCGTCCAATCTATTTTCATCGTCTTTGCATGTCTATTAATTCGGCGATTGTTCATGGTGGGAAGTTTATTCCTGGTTATTCTCAGGGTTTTGACACTCGAATAATTTATTCTTTGGGGATCCAACCTATCCCTCGCAAGGCTCCTACTATTCTTCCTGTCCTTTGGTCTCCTCCTTGGTTTCCTTGGGTTAAGCTTAATACAGATGGTTTGTCTAAAGGAAATCCCGGTCCTGCTGCATGTGGAGGAGTTTTCAGGAATTGCCATGGTCGTTTTCTCGGAGGTTTCTGTCAACGGATTGGTCATTGCAACTCTTTTTTTGCAGAGTTATCAGCAATTATTATTGGTATTGAGTTTGCTTATCAGCGGGGTTGGCACTGTCTTTGGTTGGAAAGTGATAGTTCTAGTGTTATTTCTGCTCTTCAATCATCTGATTTTGATCCTCCTTGGCCTCTTCATACGCAATGGTCTATTTGTTTGGATCGCATTCGGGAAAATGACTTTCTACGCATCTCACATATATCGAGAAGGAAATCTTGTTGCGGACAATTTTGCTAACATGGGCTTGTCTTCTCCATCTTTAACATGGCATGATTCTCCTCCGATGGCGGTTCGTGCTACTCTGTTTTCTGACTATGTTGGCTTGCCTGGTTACCGCTTTCTCAAATTAATGTGCATGTCGGCATCCAGGTTTGTCTCACTTTCCTTTTTTTCTCCTATCTTTATGGTGTTGTTTGATTTGTTTTGCAGGTTTAGACCTTCATGTTTGGTTCTAGAGGGGTTAGGTTTCATGTCCCCCCCTCTTTCTTTGTATCATTCTCATTTTTTGTTTCTAGAAGGGTAAGGTTTATGTCCCCCCTTCTTTCTAGTGTATTCCTTTTTGTTATCTCTGTTTTTTGGAGGGGTAAGGTTTATGTCCCCCCCTGACTAGGTGTACCTTGTTTTTTCGTTATCAATAAAATTACCCTCGTACCGTCGAGGTTTTCCAAAAAAAAAAAAAAAAAAAAAAAAAAAAAAAAAAAAAAAAAAAAAAAAAAAAAAAAAAAGAAGTGGTATATTTGTATACAATATCAACATCATCAATATCGTGCTTCTAATTACAATTTTAGGAAGTGAAAGATTAGCAAGAGCCTAGCTAGTGGTTACCTCAGTATGTTGTAAATCTACGTCTGTATTAAATAAGCCTCATCTTTATCTGATGCAACAATACAAAAGGCGAATTGGTATTGAACTCTTTGTTGGATGTATGTCAACAATCTGTGATAATTTATTTATGCTAATAAATAATAAATGCAATAGGAATTAACAGAATATAAACTAGAATACGAATTATAAAAACAAACAACTTGAAGATCGAGGCTTGCGTACCGCAATGTCCTTGAAACAAAAATTTCGTCTCTACTCTGTGCTTGTAGTTCTACGGACGTCTGCTTAACCAGGATTCAACGATCAAGTTAAAATTCCAGCACCGGAAAATTTAACTTCTGGCGAATTTAGTGTGGTTCTCTCAGTAAGAAGGTTTAGGAATGTAGAAGATGAAGTTGATTATTTTCTGTGTTTTAGATGCTATGCAGATGAATGTATATATAGCAGATGGATGCCTTTTTGTAACAGGTATGAGAATGGGGTGTAACTGTTGGGAGACATCTCTTCAGAGGGGTGCTTTGCTCTGTGTTCAGAAAGAACTCTCAGACTTCATCTGAAAGGATGAGTCTTTTCATAAAAAATAAATAATTAATTAAATTCGAATTTAATTAAAAAATAATTAATTATATATTAATTACCAAATAATTAATACACCCCAAAGCCCAACCCCAAGGGTGAGCCCAATTTTAGTCTCCAGGCCTATTACTCCAATCACTTTCTTTAAAGGACAAAGCCTTATAAAGTGATAAAATCTTTTGGGAATGGCCAATGTGGGACAAGGAAATTTCTACTCAAACTACTCAAATTTCCAACAATACCCCACATTTGAGTTGAAATTTCATTCAAACTCCAACAATAACAATGACCCCACATTTGAATGCAAATGTAAATGCAAATGTGTGACTAGGTTGCCTAAAACTGAGAGAGAATAGTCATGATATGCATCGGGTGAAGTGTCTTTTGGACTTGAACTTACCCTAGTGAAAACATATCGGGTTTACTTGGTGATGCAGTGGATGTGGAAGATCTTGAACTGTTCACCGCAGTAGTAAACCAAGACAATATGCTACACACATATCATGGCTGCCACACGTCAATTCATACGGTTGTGTTCATTTTGGCCCTGAACAGATCCCGGATTTCGTAGGAGCTTTAGAGAATTTAGCCATATCAATTCTCATAAATGTGGCCCCATTTACTCCTATATAGGTGACATTAGTTAAGAATAGTCTGCTATATTCCTCTTGATAACAAGATATTAATGTCATTAAATGTATAAAACATAACCCCTCAAACGTCAACAGACAACACACATTTTATCATAAGAATGGGTAAGTTATGTGTTCAACTTTTGAATCAAACTCAACTAGTTTGCCTATTGAACCTAGACTATGGGATCTCCAATCAGCTAGGTTAGGTTTCCGGCCAGTTCAATTCATTGAATTGGCTTAAGACCCATTCCCCTCGATGTAAATAATATTTGCTCTCTTGGTAGGCCTTTTGTCAAAAGATCAGCCATATTTTCCTTTGACTTCACATAATCAATGGATATTATTCCATTGGAGAGCATCTTCTTAAGAGTATTGTGTCGACGTCTGATGTGACGTGACTTCCCATTGTATACATGACTTTTGGCCCTTGATTGAGCGGCCATACTATCACAATGTATACATATAGCCGTTACCGGCTTTGGCCACATTGGAATATCCTCCAGAAAATTTTTGAGCCACTCGGCTTCTTCGCCAGCCAAGTCTAAAGCTATAAACTCATATTCCATGGTGGACCGACCTATACATTTCTGTTTAGAGGATTTCCAAGATATTGCTGCACCTCCCAAGGTAAAAACATATCCACTTGTCGACTTGGATTCTGTAGTGTCAGAAATCCAATTGGCATCACTGAAGCCTTCTACAACAGGTGGATATTTTGTGTAGTGTAATTCGTAGTCAAGTGTATTTTTCAAATACCTTAACACTCTTTTGACAATTAAATATATATTAATTATATATTAATTATAATTAATTATATATTAATTACCAAATAATTAATACACCCCAAAGCCCAACCCCAAGGGTGAGCCCAATTTTAGTCTCCAGGCCTATTACTCCAATCACTTTCTTTAAAGGACAAAGCCTTATAAAGTGATAAAATCTTTTGAGAATGGCCAATGTGGGACAAGGAAATTTCTACTCAAACTACTCAAATTTCCAACACTCTTCATCCATAAGATTTAAATTTAAGACATATCCTTATAAGTAAAGAAGAATACCATTAAACGTATTACTAGGTGGCCATAAAGAGTCATCTTTAAATCAAAGATCAAATTAAATAAGGTTGATCTTTAAAATAAGGGTGAACTGTTGATTTAGTCCCTAAATTATCACCTCAATACAAATTTGGGTCATGAATTATTTTTTTAGTAAAATAAGTCCTTAAATTCATAAAAACTGCTAATATAATCTCTAATATTATATTGGAGGCTTTTTTATCAAATTTTTCGTCAACTTAAGTCACATGACACATTTAGAGGATAATGTTGTTATTTTCTTGCATATAAGACCTTAACATTGCATATAGGTTGCGAATATAATGTCTTATTTACCCTCCAAAGTTATTCCGTACACTATTTCTTCTTCTTAAAAAAAAAAGGTCCTTAAACTATGAAAAACTACCAATCTACTCTTTAAGTGTATCATATGTAAGTCACGTAACTTAAATTAACGAAAAATTGAATAGAATAGCTTCAAATCTAATGTTAAGGATATAATTGGTGGATTTGTACTAGTCTAGGGACTATTTTTTTTTAAAAAATAATTTAGAGACCTTATTTTTATTTAAATAACTAAATCGGTAGTTTACCCTTAAAATAAAGATTAAATTACAAATGAAGATGAATACTTTTGGGCATTTGATATCTTTGTTTTCTAAGCCTGCGTACCCTGGACTTTCTTTTGTTTGATTTCATTTATTTGGGCCTTGCAATTCTTTTCTCTTTCCAAATGAGTTTTATTGGGGCCTACAGATTACTAATAATTTTTTAGTGCATTCCACATGCATTCAATTTTTATCCACAAATTTATTAAGTTCAATAACGTGACTTTCACGATCAAATTCTCGAGGTCAATTTTATAAATCCACAAGTTGAATGAAATTGGGGAGAAAAAAACACGACCATTTTCCCATCATCATCTTATTTACATCATATTTATCACAATCGAATCGGTCAAATGAGTTCATGAATCATCAACCCATGATAAGGCATCTTATTTTTGAAGAAAATAAAATGCCAACTAATTACTAATTCACAAATGCCAATTGAGTATTTGCATTCAGAATATGGCCTTAAGACTTGGGATTGAAGGCACCATATTCCAAAGTAAAATATTTACCCAAAGTAATTTTTTTTTGTCCAAAATTTATTTAACGTAATTGGAAATAGTCAAGTGAATGAACAAACATTCAATATCGGTGCAGTTCGATGCTTCTATTATTTGATGCATGATTTCTTCAAATTCTCAGAACCAAATAAATGCACTGCATTATCTTTCCATCTATATAGATATAGCCATGCACCCTTCAAATAGCTTACAAAACCAACCAGATAAGCTAGCACTTCGGATTATCTGACTAAACCCGAAACACCTAAAACCAGAAGTTTGGACTAGAAAATGGAAGCCAGTAAAGAATCGAATACTAATACCCCGGTGGAAGAAAATCAAAATGCTGGGGTTGAGGAACGTGGCACCTGATGGTGCTGGAGAAGCTAAAGCAGGAGGGAGTACTGGTACCGTACACAAAACAACGAAAGCACCCGAAAGAGATGCTCAATCTCCAAGGACAGCTTTGAGAGCAACCCTACTGCCTATGTCAAATATTTGTGTAAATAAACAACTCCTGCTACTGACTACTCGCTACTGCATGAGATGTTAAAATTTACATAGAATAAAGAGTAGCAGTACTAGTCGTTGCCGTTGTGTCCCTATCTATGTTAAGTTATTAAAATTATCATTGTGGTTAAGCTTTCTGTTTCGTTATTTACACTGTTATACTTCGATGATGAGTAAAACTGAAAATTATGGGTTTTAGTTCTCCTTGTTTTATGTCGATATCCATCCATTCTTCATAAGCAATTCTTGCTCATCTTACGAAGTTAGCATTGTTGGGACAGATGTTTACAATTGTAAGATAAAAGCTTTGGATTATTTAAAAATGCTGCAAACAAAGGAGAACAATTGTCTCGAAAAGCTTAAATTACAACGGATTAACATAGTTGTGTTGAGTCTGTTGACGTTAATTGATAGTAGATGGAAGATTGCTCAGTCTAAAAATACCAGATAAGATAAGTGCACAAAAAGCTTGCTCCTGCTAGTAACTAGTCTTGGTGCTTGATCGAATCCACCTAGTGCAAGAATCATGGAAATTCTGGTCTTTGCAGTTCAAAGTGAGTGCAGCATTACCTGAACTCCATGTTGTGGACGACATGTCAGATAATGCAAGGGCGAGTGGATGTAACCTGGAGACAGGGTGAAGGAGAAACGCTGTAGAATCATCGACAGCGCAATCTTTGCTTCGGTGGTTGCAAAATTCAAGCCCACACACGTTCGAGGTCCCAGTCCAAAGGGTATGAATACACCTACGTTATTGTTAGTTGCTTTTGCAACCCCTTCCGAGAATCTGTCTGGTTTGAAAAGTTGTACATCTTTCCCCCAGATTTGAGGATCATGGTGAATTGCTATGGTCGAGATAACTAAATCAACATTAGCAGGAACAATGAGCTGTCCAAGTCTAACTTCCCTTTCAACTTTCCTTGTAATTGAAACGGGAGGGGTATATAACCTTAGAGACTCATTGATGATCATACTCATCTGCGTGAAAATTGATATAGACAATAAATCAGGAATTGAAGCTTAATCGAAGACATGATTCTTCCACTTAGACAAACATGTGGTTGCGTTCTTGATTTTCTTACCCTTTTCATTTTTGCAATGCCATCGTGATTCGGAGTTTGGTTACCAAATAACTGTATGACTTCCTTTCTTGCTTCCTCTTGCCAATCCGTATGGAGTGCCAGAAGAAACACAGTCCAAGCGAGCAAAGTATTAGCGGTTTCCTGTCCAGCAAAGTAAAAGGTCTTGCACTCGTCGACCAAATCATCCACTGAAATCCTCTGGTCGTCATTGGAATCATGATAAGCCTTTAAAAGTAATCCAAGAAAATCACTTCCGAAGCTGTCTTCTCCTCCGGTCATAGCCTTCTCTTCTCTTTTCTTAACAATCTCTACTATGGAGGCATGTACTGCTTTCTCAAGTTTTTCTGCTTCAATCTCATCTCTAGTTTTCAAAAACTTACTGCATATTGAATGACAGACTACAGATAAGGACAGAAGCAATCATCCGAAAATCAAGTTGTGAGAACAGCTTAGACATGATTATGTGCTAGTTAACATCGCAAGGAACAGAATGTATTGTCCCGTATTCAATTTTTAATGCTGTTCCAGCAGCAGACTCTAGCAAATTGAAAGTTCCAATTGATCAATCAAAGATCATTTGATACAATAAACATCGAAGATTTAAAACCCACTAACCAATCAATCAGAGATTCAATAACTAAAGAGAAGTGACTAAATGGATATCCTTTCAATTAAAAGGAAATTACCTGATGCCGGGAATTCTGATTGTGAGAGCATTTTTGAATATCAGGAAGCCGATATTATTCAACATCTCGAAAATATTCTTTCCTTCAATATAGCTGCTTCCAAACGCCGTTCTTGAAATCACTTCTGAACTGAACAGCTTAAGCTCTCCAAATACCTCAATCTCTTTTCCATCATAATCTTTCCACCTTTCAAGCATTGTCTCGGCACTCGCGACCATTTCCGAAAACATGCTCTAGTAAAACAATGACATCATCACATCATCAAATTCACCTAAAATCCCTCCTTTTCCTATTCAAATACTTAACACCACAGTACAATTAGCAGCAAAAACTTACTTTTAAGCTCTCTCCATGGAAGGCATGGTTCGCGATCTTTCGCAGTTTCCCCCATTTTTCACCCTCGGTCGTTGAGACAAGCCCATCCCCCAACAGCTTCCTCACAAAGCCCTGGACCTCTCTTTTCGGATACGCTCTATCTTTGTTATTCAGTATCTCCTTGCACAACTCAGGCTCCGTTATCACAAACTGAGCCCGAGTACCGTGCCACTGTAGATAATTCTTCCCTGTAAGCAATTCCATACAAATATCACCAAAAATAATCTCGAACCAAAATATCAAACAAAAAAAAAAAAAAAACAATAGTTTACGAAAATTAAGGTCGTTCTGTTTTTCGTTACCATAAATCATGATCCAAGAGTGCATGTGCGGTTGAACAACGGAAAGTATGTCGTGGGATAAATCCTTCGGCTTGCTCATGGCTTCTTTTCTCATGGTGGCGATTTGTTTGGTGTTTCCATGGATGAATCTGTAAGGAGGGCCTCTGATACCCTGCGACGCCATCAACTTCGAGATTCGAGTGGGAGTCCACCATAGCTTGTGAAGGACCTTCACCAGAACGGAGACGAGAACCACACACAGAAGGCTTGAGAGAGTGACTGCCACCCCTCCCACTGCCAGAGTGACCATTTTTGGTACTGGCTTTCTCTTCTCTGAAGCTGCTGAGTTTTCACTTCGGCTTTGTTGTTTATTAACGTGTTGTGTGCAGAAAGGTAAGATAATTAAAATGTCCGTTTGACCCTACTTGATTGTTACTTTTGCTTCTCGTACTACTGCCATTTAATGCGACCTGAAGGGCAAATATTGTCATCCGTGCTGACTTATTAGAATGTTAGGCTGCCATCTGCCAGCTTTTCAAATTAATTCTTCAACAATAAAGTCATACAACCCCGCATCTGATAGTTTATTTCTTATGCCGGTCCCCAGTCCGAATAAAAAAGAAGGGAGAAGGCGTAAATTAGTTGACAACCATTACTCTATTCTTACATCGAATCTTAATAATACTGAATCTTTTTATTAAGATTCTTAGCTGGAATAGCTCATTTTACAAAGAGTAATGCCAAGTAAACAAAATTTGCGTCATTTAGTACTACGGTTTAATGATATTTCTCTTCATTTGTAAATGAGTGGTCTTAATTTCGATTCTAGTCAAAGGCGAGTTTGAACAACATTATTGCTAACCTATTAGGAGGCTAAACCCATCTTCTCCTCTTAAAGTAGATAATATCAATTGTTTAAAAAAAAATCTAAATTTGCAAACTAAATATAATAAACCTATTTCTAAAAGATAATTTGGAATGACCACTAACTATTGATTAATTGCACATCAACTTATTTCCTTCCTCCTCCCACAAATTAAAAAAAAAAAAGCCCTTCTCTGTCTGAAAATGCGGCCTTTATAGCTTCTGCAATTCCGGCGACTTCTCCTCCGCTACCTTTCCACTTCCTTTTCATCCCCATCAGAACGATGGTGATGGTGCAACTGGGTTGAAAACCCCATCGGGAGGAATGAATCCGAGAGAGAGAATGGTGGTGAATTGATCGATTCGATCACTGCAATTTCTGTGAGGAGGAGATTTGCAGATGGTAGCCTTGAATAATTGAATTCAAGCTCAACTTCTGCTATTAAACCCCCACACCAACTTAAAAAAAATTGTGAATTTTAATTGTAGGAGGAAGTTGTGGAATCTTGTGAATTTAAAAAAAAAAATTCTGACATTATGATCAGTTAGAGTTAATGAATGACAATAATAATGACAACGTGATATGTAACTCCAATAATTCAATATTGATATTCCAATTAAAATGAATTCGAAAATGAAGTGGTATATATTTATATTAATTTGTTTATTCGAGATCAACATCATCAGTTTCGTGCTTCTACGTAAAAGTAAAAGATATTCAACGTCCATTCAATAGAGAATTTTTTGTTGTGACGGGAACACGGATTGTACATTATGAGTTTCTCTGTAAGTGATGGGAAATTTTACTTAAGTTATAACTTTTTAACACACATATCTCACTATTTATATAGTGATACTTAGTGTACCATCTCGTGTACCAATCACACAGAAAAATCTCTCCATTCAATAAGGCTCTTCCTCGTTAGACATGAACAATACTTAGAGATAAACCAACTTATCGTTAGACAAGAAAAAACATGATTTGATTTGAGAGTCAACCTCGATTGTATCAGGTAATCTTGTCGACCAAGACCAGGACACACCAGTTCCAACAAGACCCCCAATGTATGGCCAGCTCAGGCAAACAACCAGCAATTGAAATTAGGTGCGCGCTGAGGACGGAACTCGAATGAAAGAAAAGACATAAGAAAAACTTAAACAAGTGGTACAGTGTAGAATTACAATTAATTGTATTAAAAATTGGAAAATAGTACAATGTATAGTGTCATATTAATGACTATTGAGGGACAAAATCGTACAATGCATAGGGTCATATTAATGACTATTGAGGGACAAATCTTACACTAGTTACAATTGAAAGTATCGTAATATTACGATTTAATGATATTTATCTTTACATGTAAATGAGAGGCCTTATGTTTAATTCTCATCAAATGCGAAGTTGAGCCACATTATTATGACAAGCCCTTGTAAGGCTTAACCTACTCATCTACTCTTTTAGTGTAAATATTATCATTTATTCAAAAAAACAAAATTACATTCCTATATTACATGCTACAATTACGAAAAATATTCAAGATTAATTAATTATTTTCTAACAATCATTCATTAATTGAAGCGGAAAATGTTTAATTATATGATAACATGCTAGAAGTCATAAGAAACCAACCGTAGGGCTCCCATTTCCTTTGGCACAGAACCCCTCCCCAAGTAACCTGCTTTCGCCGTCAACTCCTTCCTCTCTGGTTAGGGTTGGCAGGTAACCCCCTTCTCTTCCTCCTTGTCCTTCTCCTCTCTAGCTCACTACCCCTATTACACCCCACCCCTGTTTTTGTTTTAAAAATTATTTTGGGGTCTTATTTTGTGTGCCCCCGGCCCCAATCTCTCTTCATCATCTCTTTCTCTCTCTTTTCCCTAACTTTCTCCTCTTTACCTGTGCTCTCTCTTTGCATTTCTCCATTTGTCCGAGCACCACCCCTACACACCCATAACTACAAACGACGACAACACCACCCTCTAATCCAACTTTCTCTCCTTCTCACCACAGTGCAAACATTTCATCGATGAGTTATCGTTGTTTTCGAAGAAGGTAGGTCGAAACACCCTTCCATCTTTCTCCCTAGTAGTCTAGAAGGATTCATGGTTGTTATAATGTGATTTTGGTGAAGGTTTGGATATGAAAACACTTCAAGATGGCCTTTCCCAGTTTCCGGAGGACACCCGTGGCTTCCAGGTGGTTTTTCGGCCAACTCCGGGCACGATGACAAGAACCAAGGGTATATTTTCATTCCTTACCTTTGGGGCTTCAATTTGGTATATTAAATCGCATGCTTTGGTTAAGTTTTGAGCTCCATTGGAGCTCAAGGAATGTCCGGCCGAATTCCGGCCAAATGGGTTCGGCGACCCACAATTGGAACTCAGGCCTGGCTTTCAAGCCCCAAAACCCCTTTGAACTAGGCCTTTGGGCCTAGGACCTTTCAGCCCAAACTCTCCAACCCAACCTAAACCTTTTATTTTTATTTTGTTTATTTTGTTTTAAAACCCAAAGGAATAGGCTCGGCCGGGCCTTCAAGCCTAGCCCATTTGAGAACCCTAGTGAGAAAGGCCTTTGGGCCACTGAACCAGCCCAAGACCTGAGCTTTCAAGCCCAAACCTAATATAACCCAACCCTAAAACCCATTTTAAATTAGAAACCCGTAACCCATTAACCCACTATCCTAAGCCCAACCTACCTAAACCTAAACCTAACCCAAGTCCAAACCCTAAACCCTAACTGGCCCAAACCCTTTATGGGGAATATCCACTAGGGAATATTTCGTCAGGGAATATTCTTTGTGTTGACTTTTACGAAATTTAACCGAGACCTTACTTAGTGTAATTCGACATCTTGAATTCATTTCCGACGTTCGTTTTCCCAAATTCAATTGTTATAATAGAGTTTTATTAATTGGACCCTTTATGTACAATTATTTGTGACGATTCCATGTTCGATAGTTTGCGTGGCTCTTCGGCGGCTAAGTATCTGTGAGTGGACCCCTTCTAAAAATGAATGTTTTAATAGTATAAATGCATACAAGAAAATCATGATTTAATGATTATGTTTTATGAAACATTTTATGAGATAACATGCTTATTGAGGCTAGTTTGAATTATTACTATTTTTCCTATAACCCGTGTTCTTTATAGAATATTTGATGGACGATGATATGATATTTAGAACATGTTTTGAACACCTCTTTATAGTATAGATGATGGATGACTTTATACTATGAAGTTGCTTTTCAAATAAATGTATGTTCAATGGTTTTGTACTTACCTAGTGGTCCCAATTCCGTTACGGGGTGAGGGATATATTATGTCCTGGACGACGGTTACGGTGTTGGCATAGGGCCTGAAGATGGTTTTCCTCTAGCAATTAGCACAGAGACGGGGAGCTGGCTTGGGGCCTGGGGGTGATTTTCCTCTGGCAATTGGCATAGAGACGAGGAGCTGGCATGGGGCCTGGAGGGATATTGGACATTCACTAGTGATTATGATATATATGAGTTATGATTTGAGACATTGCACGACATGCTAGGTTTCGGAAAACCTATTTTTATCATGCTATATGAGTTTTCATAAAACCTGGGGATTAGTATGTTGATAACTTTTTTATTTTATATATATATATATATATCAACTTGGTCCACTCATGTTTGTTTTGCGCCATTTTCAGGACTTAGAATCGAGGCATACAATCCCGGCGTCAAGGCACTTCCGCATCAGCATCTTCGAATCCTCTCGGTGTAGGATCCATCCTTTGTTTCATTCAATTTTATATTATTTCTTTTAATCTTCTAATTAGTTGTATACTCTGAATACGTTCCTTAAATGCATATTCATTATTCTTTTATATTTATAAGTCTTATCTATCTCTTGTTCTCAGCTTTTGCACTCAATAAATGGTTTTCGTCACCCTCGAGTGTCAGCCAGCACGTGCCTATCCTGGTATTTGGGGAATATCGGGATCGGGGCGTGTCAACCCCTCCCTCGAAACCTCTTCCATCCCTCCAATCTGGTATTCCCCCCAACTTACTTATTCGCAACCCCTTTCTCTTCACTTCAATAAGTTTCTTAGTTTTGTTCTATTCCTTGTTTTTGATAACCCTCTTAATATCTAGTTTCCTTGAGCTTGTGTCAACCTCCCTGAGCTTGTCACAAATCTGGGCTTTTATGCCCATTTCTTTCTCCTTTGCTTCTCCTCGTTATTAGTTCTTCACCACCGACCTTTGCTACTCGGCCCATCGCTTGCCTCCCATTGGCCACGTATTTTGGTATTTGGTGGTTGTTAAAGTGTTTTAGCACTAATTGGTAAGATTATGGCGAGCGCTTTTTGCGCGGGTGGCTCACTCACCTCCATTTTCAGTTCATCCAGATTGTTTGTGGGTTTTTTTATTGGTGATGGCGGCGGGTTGGCGATGGTGGTGCAACTGTTGTGGCGGAGGCAACAATCTTTCAGATCTAAAGTTTTGTTTTTTGTGGGCTTGCTCTTTTTGAGCATTTATGTTGTATTTTCTTTTAGGCTATGTTTGTATTTGAACTACCTTTGGACTTTCTATTTCATATAATAGCTTTTTCAACTAATAAAAGTTTCTAATTTGGCAAAAAAAAAATCCGACTTAAAAGAAACAAAACTTAAAAAAAAGGAAACGGATGCCTTTTTTATTTATGTTGCAGTGCTCATATTAGGCTGCTTACAGTCCTGACGCCCTAGTGCAGAATTCATGGGCAGTTCACAAGGGAGTGTACAACTACTTTTATGACGTTCAAGATTTCTTTATTATACTTATTGTATTTATCAAAGGCACCAATGTGTGGGTACTTCAGATACCCCAAATGCAAGAACCATGAGAAACTCTGCTCTTCGCCGTTCAAAGCGAGTGTAAAATCACCTGAACTCCATGATATGGACGAACAGTAACATAATGCAAGGGCAAGTGGACGTAAGACGGGGAAAGGGTGAAGGAATAGCGTTGAAGAATCATCGACAGAGCAATCTTCGCTTCAGTTGTCGAGAAATTCAAGCCCACACAAGTTCGAGGTCCCAGTCCAAAGGGTATGAATGCACCTACATTATTGTTAGTTGCTTTTAAAACCCCTTCTGAGAATCTGTCTGGTTTGAAAAGGTGGACATCTTTCCCCCAGATTTGAGGATCATGGTGAAGTGCAATGGTCGAGATAACCAATTCAAGATTAGCAGGAACGATGAGCTTTCCCAGTTTCACTTCCTTTTCAACTTTCCTTGTAAGGTAAACCGGAGGGGTATATAGCCTCAAACACTCATTGATGATCATGTTCATCTGTATAGAAATGGAAAATTGATAACATAATCAATTTTCAAACATGTTGTAACAGAGCAAAGAAAAAAAAAAGAGTTCTTGATATTCTTACAGTTCTCATTTTGGCAATGCCGTCATGATTTGGAGTTTGTTTGCCAAATAATTGTATGACCTCCTTCCTTGCTTCCTCTTGCCAATCCGTATTAAGTGCCAGAAGAAAGACGGTCCAACCAAGTAAAGTATTAGTGGTTTCTTGTCCAGCAAAGTAAAACGTCTTGCACTCATCAATTAACTCATCCACCGAAATCCTCTGGTTGTCATCGGCACTCTGACAAGCCTTCAAAAGTAATCCAAGAAAATCACTTCCAAAATTGTCTTTTTCTTTGGTCCCTGCCTTGTTTTCTCTTTTCTTGACGATCTCTATTATGGTGGCGTGTACTTCTTTCTCGAGTTTATCTGATTCGATCTCATCGCTGGTTTTGAAGAACTTACTGCATTAAATGAAAAGACTACCCATGAGGACCGAAGTGATTGTCAACAAATCTTGTGGTGAATATTGAGTAGATCACCGTTGCATAGCAGATGGGCAAACGAAAAAGAATAATAGGGATTACCTGATGCCAGGAACTCTGACCTTGAAAGCATTTTTGAATAGTATGGAGCCTAACTTCATCAACATCTCAAAAATGTTCTTTCCTTCTATATAGCTGCTGCCAAATGCCGTTCTAGAAATGACTTCCGAAGTGAACAATCTAAACTCTTCATACACCTCAATCTCTTTTCCTTCAAAAAATTTCCACCTTTCTAGCATTGCCTCGGCACTAGCTACCATTTCCGGAATCATACTCTATTGAAACAATACCATCATGATATTAGCAGATTCACCTTCAGTTTATTACACTAAAGTACAAGCAACCTTGAAGACTTACTTTTAAAGTCTCTCCATGGAAGGCATGGGTGGCCAGTTTCCGCAATTTTCCCCATTTTTCAGCTTCGGTTGTTGTCACTAGGCCGTCTCCCAATAGCTTATTCACAAAGTTTGGGGTATCTGTTTTCGGATAAGCTCTATTTTTGTTATTCAGTATCTCTTTGCACAACTCGGGTTCCGTAATGACCAACTGAGCCTTAGAACCATGCCATTGAAGATAATTCTTCCCTGTAATTAGTATGTAAACAATGATCAAAATTTGTCACGGAATTAAGATTAAAAAACAATAGTAGTCAACCTAAAATCGCGAGAGTTCACTTGTCACCATATATCTTGATCCATGAGTGCGTGTGAGGTTGGACAACAGAAAGTATGTCGTGTGATAAAATCTGTGGCCTTCCCATGACTTCCTTTCTCATGTCAGAGATTTCTTTGGTGTTTCCATGGATAAGTCGGTAAGGAGGGCCTCGGATCCCCTGTGAAGCCATCAACTTCCGAATGCGAGTCGGAGTCCACCATATCTTGTGAAGGATCTTGATTAGCCCTAAGATAAGAAACAGACACAGAAAGCTTGGGAATATGATTACTAAACCTCCGAAAGAACCCATTTTTTCGTATTTCTTTTTGAGTTGGAGTCCGTCGTTCTGAAGTTTTTTCTGCTCTTTATATTGTAACACAAATTAACAAGATGCTGCTGATGGTATTTATCTAGTGAGTGTCACTTACTTATCTTGCTAGTTACTAAAATCCAAGGGGCAAACATCATCATCAATACATTGGCTTGAAACCTTAAGCTGCTATTTGTCGACTTTCGATATGTCACTTTGGAATTATCTCCTGAATTTGTCACCAAATACGTTTACCGTACTATTAATTTGTTTCCCTACCCTCTCTTTCACCACATTTTTCTAGTTTCCTTGATGAGCTTTCGCAAGCCTAAAATTTCTTCGTAAAATTAGTGTCTGTGTCCTTGTCACAGACTGCAGCTGGCATAACAAATTATGTCCATCGTTTTCTACGACTTTTGGATGGATATGGTTGTGACTTGTAATAAGTTGGCTTTTCTAAATTTTGAAAGACATGAACCTTAAGCTGCCATTTCTTGACTCCGCTGTGAAACTTCTATATCTACGGGACAAAAGTAGGTCGCTCAATGTCATGGGAAGTTAAAGGACCCTGCATGTGATTACAAGGAGTCGAACTTGGGGTGTTCGTCAGTTTTTAACTGATGAGATTCTGCGAATTCACGTCCGATCTAAACATGGATGTGCATAATATCTAAAGAATGAATGGACAAAATAAGAAAGAAATGCAGATAAAATTTATGAAAAAAAAAAGGGAAAAAGAGTGGGTTGGGTGGTGTTACTTGCTGCTTACACAGAAAAAAAAAAGGCTACAAGCCTTCAACTTTCCATTGTAGCACCCTTCACAGAAACCTGAAACCTACCTTCCTTCCTAGCCCTGAGAACTGGGTCTCTCCAAATTCTTCTTGTCAAATTTTGTGGTGTCTTCGGAGCTGTTTATTAGATTTGGGCTTGTATGGATTTACACTTGGGCTTAGCATCAGTTAGGCTTAGTTGCTGCTTTGGGTTGGGTGCAGAGTGAAGTCACCCATAGGCAAGCACTCTTAACTAACTGAGTATATTTAGGGGAGGAAATCGAACTGGGTGCATAGGTAAGTACTCTTAGGGTGCGTTTGGTACGTGGGACGGGACGGGACGGAACGGGACAAGGCGTTCCGTCCCGCGTTTGGTGCGCCAAAAATGGGTGGAACGGGCTGTTCCACGGGACAGATTTTGAGTGTTTTTGCGTTCCACCTCCCCCCTGGAACGGGTTTGTTCCACGTCTGTGGAACACAATGTTTTACCATTTTAAGACAAATATATCCCATGTCTTTTTCAAAAATTACACCTTCATTCCGTCCCGTCCTGTCCCGTCCCGTCCTGTTCCGTTCCGTCCCGTCCCGTCCCGTCTGCGTACCAAACGCACCCTTAGCTAACTGAGTCACTTGAAAGTGAGAGGTCCTAAGTTCGATTCTCGTCAAAGACAAGTTTAAACCATATTATTACTAGCTAATTGTGAAGCTAAGCTCACACTTCCCTCTTAGTGTAAATAATATCGTTTGTTAAAATTAAAAAAAAAAAAAAAAAAAAAAAAAAACACTAACTGAGTCACAAATCTCTGTCCACCGTTTCTTATGTTGTAAAATGTGTCATTTTATATAAATAAATGAATCAAGCAAATGTGTACATAAATCATTGTTATGTCATTTGCCATTTATGGGCCCGTTTGAGTCTTTTTATTTTTATTTTTTATGAAGCACTTGTGCTCATAAGCGTTTTATCTAGAAGTGTTTTTATAAGAAATGCATTGAACTTTTTTATTAAAAATTTAAGTACATTCGAAAAAAGAAAAAAAAAACAATTGTGAAAACTTTATAAAGAAGCATAACAAAGTACTACTTGAGAAAATGCTTCAATGATTTAAAAACATTTAAGTTTTTCTGTCAAATACATTAATGTTTTTATTTATCAGATTGCACTACTAGTCCATCCAAAGGCAATCTTGAACATATTTTTTTTTTTAGAGGTAGTGCTATCAACACATTCATTTTTACTTCTCACATAATCTTCTCAAATTTCAGCCGTCAAATCGAATAATTTGAACAAGATCATGACAAAAAATTAACAAGGAAGTGAAGAAGATAAAAATGAGTGTGTGAATAACACTATTTTTTTTATAATTATTGGTAAGAAAAAGGCATTTCAAAGGAGGAGTCTTTGTATTACGTGTTCAAGCTTCGTATTATGCATTTCTTGTTGGGAAATGGCAGACTTTAACTTTTAATACTACCGTCCTTTATTATCCTTCATTTTCAAGCTTTGACTTCATGTTCCAACGTACTCTAACACTTCCGATGCTTGAATTAATCTTCCCAGAATCAAATCTTTAAATTAGTGCATTATATATATGGCCATGCACCCTTCATGCAAGTCATAAAATCAACAAAAGGCAAAAGAAAAGTAAAAGCAGTTTGTACTAGAAAATGGGAGGCAGCAAGGGCTCTGGAGGGAATCAAAATGCTGGGTCTGGGGGGGGTAACAAATCCTCCGGTGGAGCAACTGGTGGCAGTGGCGGTGGCGGTGGCGGAGGAGCCAAAGCAGCGGGAGGGACGGGGGCTTCTATGAAAGCGCCAGGAAGAGATTATACGATCTCGAGAGACAGCTTTGAGAGTAACCCTGCTGCCTACTTCAAAGATCTGCGCAAATAAAAAAATCTACTATTTCTCACTAATGGCTGAGACATTAGGACTTATATATGATAAATAAGGAGCAGTAGTAATTAGTACTGTGCTTCTGTTGAACTGCTTATCCATATGTATTCTCCCTACCTATCCTAATGCAGTTACTAGTTACATATTATGTTTAAGCTTTGTGTCTTTAATTAAGTATAGTTTACCATTGATGATACACAGCGGTTACTCTAAAGTCTAAACACATACCAATGAGTTCGATAGCTAGAAAAAGTTGAAATGATAACGGATAGACACAATTTCATTAGTTGCACTGAATAGCAAATCCGAAAGGCATCAATTTCCCGGCAATGCCAGCCTTCACAGTTCAAAGTGAATGTAGCATTACCTGAATTCTATGTTGTGGCCGCAGTGTCAAATAAAGAAAGGGCAAGTGGACATAACCTGGGGAAAGAGTGAAGGAGTAGCATTGTAGAATCATCGACAGAGCAATCTTTGCTTCGATGGTTGCAAGGTTCAACTCCACACAGCTTTGAGGTCCCAGACGAAAGGGTATGAAAGTGCTTATGTTATTGTTAGTAGCTTTAGCGATCCCTTCTGCGAATCTCTCCGGTTTGAAAAGTTGCTTGTCTTCTCCCCAAATTCGAGCATCGTGCTGAAATGCTAGATTTGAGAAACCAATTCCACATTAGGTGGCACAATAACATTCCCCTGTCTAGGCACACTGACATTCCCCAGTATAATTTCCCTATCAACTCTCCTTAATAAGGAATCAAGAGGGGGATATAACCTGTGAGACTTATAGAAAATCATACTCGTCTGCATGAATAAAAAAGAAAAACAGATTCCCAAATTAGAATCTCTAATCTCAACTGAAAACATGTTTCCAACACCCCCTTTCTTACTATTTTCAGTTTGGAAAAGTTATCAGGATTTGGGGTTTGTTAGCCAAATCATTCCATCACCCCCTTTCTTGATTCCTCTTGCCAATCCGTATGGAGTGCCAGAAGAAACAGAGTCCAAGCAAACAAAGTATTAATGGTTTCTTGTCCAGCAAAGTAAAACGTCTTGCACTCATCCACCGAAACCATCTGGTTTTCAATTTCATCGTGAGTTCAAAAGTAATCCGTGAAAATCACTCCCGAAACTCTTGTTTTCTCCTGTCATTGCCTTCTTTTCTCGTTTCTTGACAATCTCTGTTATGGAGGCATGTACTTCTTTCTCTAGTTTGTCCAATTCGATCTCATCGTTGGTTTTGAAAAGCTTACTGATGCCAGGAACAGACTGGGAAAGAATTTTTTAATTTATACTTTAATCCCATCTAATAATTTGTATGTAACTTAGAGATTTTTTTATTTGATTTTTGTTGTTTTCATGTTGGCCACCCATATTTTGAATCCTGGTTCCGCCCCTGACCATAGCTTGTGAAAGATGTTGATGAGAATTAAGACAAGAAGCACACACAGAAAGCTTTAAAAAATGACTACTGGGCCTCCCAAAGAAGCCATTTTTCGTGTGCTTCTCTTTGGCCATCTCCCTTAAAAAATACTCGTCTTTTTTTATTCTTTTGTTTTCCGGTCGGCACAGAGGCATCATATTTCAACTAATGTATAATATTCAACACGGTGCAATAACATTGAACCCCAAAATCTATCTATGTTAATGGAACTACCGTCACCTCTAGTTTGTATTGATTTTAGCCGTGCCCGGAAGTAGCATAACCTTGTGCTGCCATGTTAACTTATCAATTACGGTACATATTACGGCGTACGCCAAACAAAAAGAAAAACTTTGCTCGGATTATCCAAAAAATTCTGACAAACGAAAGAGAACAATAATTGGAAAGAAAAAAAAAAAACTGCTTATAGCTTAAGCCATCATATAATAGAAACGTGTATGGCTGAATATTTGAAGGGTTTACAATATATAGGCACACATACCGTATTTCATAAGGAAACTAATTAGAAAAGATAAGGAAACTAATTACAAAGGACTACTATCAATTACAAATCCTAATCTTACCAAATATTCTCCTAGAATATTTATAATAAAGACTGACGTCAACACATATCATAAGGCTACAATTTCTAGGTACTCCATACTACCAACCAAGTGCAAGATATTTGGCAATTCTGGTCTTCGGAGTTCAAAGTGAGTGTAGCATTACCTGAATTCCACGTTTCGGACGGACTGTAAGATAATGAAAGGGTAGGTGGACATAACCCGGGGAAAGGGTGAAGGAGTATCGCTGTAGAATCATTGACAAAGCAATCTTTGCTTCTATATTTGTAAAATTCATGCCCACGCAGCTTCGAAGACCCAATCCAAACGGTATGAAAGCGCCTACATTGTTGTCAGTTGCTTTAGCAACCCCTTCAGAGAATCTCTCGGGTTTGAAAAGTTGCAGGTCTTCTCCCCATATTTGAGGATCATGGTGAAGTGCTAGATTTGGGACAATCAGTTCGAGATTTGCGGGCACAATGACTTTTCCAAGTTCAACTTCCCTTTCGGTTTTCCTTATAATAGTAGCAACAGGAGAATATAACCTTAGAGACTCATTGATCACCATACTCATCTGCATGAAAATGAAAAGTATATAACAAATCAGAGTTTAAAACTTAACCGACAAGCTCATTATGATTGAGTTCTCGGATTTCTTACCGTTTTCAGTTTGGCAATTCCATCAGCATTCGGAGTGTGTTTGCCAAATAAATCCACAACCTCCTTTCTCACTTCTTCTTGCCAATCCGTGTGGAGCGCCAAAAGAAAGACAGTCCAAGCAAGCAAAGCATTAGTGGTTTCTTGTGCAACAAGGTAAAACTCCTTGCATAGTTCAAATAATTCATCCGCCGATATCCTCTGGTCGTCATTCGTATCATGATAAGCCTTTAAAAGTAATCCAAGAAAATCACTCCCAAAGCTGCCTTCTCTTCTCTTCTCTTAACAATCTCCATTATGGAGACGCGCAGTCCTTTCTCTAGCTTGTCTGCTTCGATCTCATCACTGGTTTTGAAAAACTTACTGCAACATTAAATGAAAGAATAAAGTTTAGCTATGTTTGGAGATGTCAAATTTTTATTTTTTTATTTTCTTTTGAACAAAAGGAGATGTCAAATTTTAAAAATAAAATTTAAATTTGATATCTTATGTGGCACTTTGATATCTTTTAAAGTTTTGTTTTCCACCCAATATGTTAAATTTTAAACGTAAAATAAAATTTCATATTTATTTCCTTTGCATTGGTAATGAAAGAAAATGAATTAAAGGGTATAAAATATTTAAACATTGCATTGGTCATGAAAGTAATGAAAAGAAATTAAAAGGCAAGACTTTTAACTAATAAAAAAAATTAATAAAAAGCATTTAATAATTAATTAATTTTTTTTTGAAGTTGCCGTCAAATTTGGCAGCAAATGAAAGAAATACCATTTCATATCATGTCACATCAGATTTACCTTCTCGATTAAAAAAAATTGCTACTGCTTTTTCTTTTTTTTTTACCGTTATTATTTGTTAAGATATTTCGACAGAGATGCTCTAAGAAAAAGAAGTAATAGTCCACAACTCCACTGCTGCGCCAACAGATATGTGGAAAAAATTACCATGATAGAGAAGTATGATTCTATGCATAACAAGCCGAATGAGTCAGCTTCAGCTACATAGTGAAATCAAATTGAGCATGTTTCACATCCCTTCTTGTAATCAGAATTTTTTTTTTCTTTTACAGGAAGTTACCTGAATACGGGAACCCTGATTGTGAGAGAATTTTTGAACACTAAGACGCCTAACTTCGCCAGCGTCTCGAAAATGGTCTTTCCTTCGATATAATTGCTGCCGAATGCTGTTCTGGAGATCACTTCCGAACTGAACAACCTAAACTCTTGAAAAACCTCAATCTCTTTTCCTTCATAACTTTTCCACTTCTCCAGCATTGTCTCAGTACTAGCTACCATTGCTGGAGTCATACTCTAGTAAAACAACACAATCATTCTGTTAGCAGATTTACCTACAACTTGCATGAAAGTGTTGGAATTATTAGATCGACAGGTCCGGTAGCCCACTCTAACGATACCGATAATATCGTATTTACCACCTGCCTCATCCGTTAGTTAGGTATGAGATTTTATCACAAAAGCTTCGGTATTATTTAGAGTCGAGTAATCCTATTTAAGGTCATTATTTTTTATTTTCCGCGGGATAGCCAACATGCCACCTCATGTGGAACCTCATTTAGTGGTTCACACGTAGAGATTCACACATCGGTAATTGAAACTCAGAGATCGACTCCGATGGAATCTAAACTTGTTTTCAATCTTTCCAAGAAGTGTTTCTTAAGAACTCAGAGGCTACTATATGTTAAGAGTCTAGGTTTGTTACCAAGCTCACACTTTGTGACAAGCCTTTTGGCTTGCACGAGCCCGTATCTAGGGCTTTAATATCATGTTGAAATTTTTAAATCGACGGGCCCGGAGGTCCCATTCTAACGATATCTATACTTGCCCTAACTTGGTAATTATCACCTATCAAATCCGTCAAATGTGTAATTTTATCATAAAAAATCTCGATATTAGTTAGAGTAGGATAATCCTATTTAAAGTCATTATTTTTTACTTCCGCGACCGATGTAGGATAGCTAAAAGAAAGCAGCTGTAACCGTAAAAACTTACTTTTAAGCTCTCTCCATGGAAAGCATGGGTAGCCAGCTTTCGCAATTTCGCCCAATTTTCAGGTTTAGTTGTTGTCAGAAGGCCATCTCCGAATAGCTTCTTGTCAAAGTAAGGGGTCTCTATTTTCGGATAAGCTCTATCTTTGTTGTTCAATATCTCTTTGCATAATTCAGGGTCCGTAACGATCAACTGAGCCTTAGAACCATGCCATTGAAGATAATTCTTACCTGTAAATTAGCATGCTAAAGATGACCAAATTTATCTTGATCGAAACTACGATTTAAAAAAGTAGTTAACTAATCAAGATCATTTGTTACCGTATATCTGAGTCCAAGAGTGAATGTGAGGTTGAACTACAGAAAATACGTCGTGTGATAAATTTTTCGGCCTGCTCATTGCTTCCTTGATCATGTCGGTGATTTCTTTCGTGTTTCCATGGATAAGTCTGTAAGGAGGGCCTGTGATCCCCTGCAAAGCCATCAGCTTCTGCAATCGAGTCGGAGTCCACCATAGCTTATGAAAGATCTTGATGAGGAGTAAGACAAGGAACACACACAGAAAGCTTGGAAGAATGACTAATTGTCCTCCCAAAGCACTCATCATCTTTGTTAACTGGGTTTTCAATCAGCAGACCATAGTTTGTAAAGTGTTCTTGCTCTTTAATCTGTACTGTTAACCAGAGCCGGCTTTTAAGGGCTGTGACAGGCAAGGATGAAAAAATCGATAATATCGGCGAAATATCGCCGATATTATCGTTTTTTTGAAGTTCCGAAATTTTTTTAACTATCCAATCTATTTTCGTCAAAATATCACGATATTATCGATAATATCGCGATATTTTCGAAATTATCGACAATATCGCGATATTTTATTAAAAAAATACTTAAATATGTTGAAAAAACTCAACACATAATTAACTTGATCATGGCCCAAAGGCCAAACAAGTTTTGGTTATCTCATTAGGGGAGTGTGAGTTTTATAGGAAAAATTCATTGCTCACTTCCTTGCATGGGCGATGTGGGACTCGCCCAATGGGGAAAAAATCAAAATTTCGGCCGAAATTTTACACCCACTTTAAACGGCCATAACTTTGTCAAAACTCAACGAAATCAAGCAAGACAAAAACGAAAGTTGTAGCCCTCGAAGAGACGAAGAGAATGGTACCTCACACTATGTCTGAATCGTAGTGGTTTGGCCGGAAAATGCCTCGAAAGTCACTGAGGTGGCTGAGGTCGTCGGAAACTGGGTAAGATTCAAATGAGTATAACTTTTTCAATACGCAACGAAATTGAGTGAAACAAAAAGAAAAGTTGTAGCCCTCGAAGAGACGAAGAGAATGGTACCTCACACGATGTCTGAATCGTAGTGTTTTGGCCGGAAAATTCCTCGAAAGTCACTGAGGTCGCTGAGGTCGTCGGAAACTGGGTAAGATTCAAATGAGTATAACTTTTTTAATACGCAACTAAATTGAGTAAAACAAAAAGGAAAGTTGTAGCCCTCGAAGAGACGAAGAGAATGGTACCTCACACGACGTCTGACTCGTTGTGGTTTGGCCGGAAATTGCCTCGAAATCTACTGAGGTCGCCGGAAACTGGGTAAGATTCAAATGAGTATAACTTTTTCAATACGCAAACGAAATTGAGTGAAACAAAAAGGAAAGTTGTAGCCCTCGAAGAGACGAAGAGATTGATACCTTGCACGTCAGCCAAAATTCAATTGACACACTCCTAACTTCCAAAATTCAATACTTTTACTTTATATCAAGTTGAAAAAACATAATCGGCATCCAAATTAAAGTTTAATCTTATTCAATGTATTGATTTTCAATCGTTAATTGATATACTATAATTTGGAACTTCAACGCCTAGACGCATGCTTATGTGTAAGAAATTTAAATTGTCAAATTCGGCACATTATTCTTCATCATTTTATTCACTTCCCTTTTTTTTTTTTAATATCCTAAATAAAACCTCCAAATATTGTACTAATTAATTATATATAAATGATTATGGTGTGTTTAAACTTCTTTCATTAATTACTACATATTTTCTACACTCACAATGTTTGTCAGCTCGCTATATAATCAACTTAAATCAGTTAAATCCATCATGCAATGCATTTCCTTCCAATTTTTTGTGATAAACTAATAGATAATTGACTAAATAAACATCCTACAAAGTTTCATTAAAAATTTCCAAGTTTTTCTTACAATTTCCGTGGTTTCCATGTAATTTTTATCGATATCGATATTATCCCGATATTTCCATCGATATTTCCGTGTTTTCGGACTACCGATATTTCCGATATTACCGATATTTTCTTCCTTGGTGACAGGTTACACTGCACAGGGTTCAAAAATTTGGGGTCCCAAAAAATAATTTTTTATTGAATATAGTAATATATAAAATAATATTATATAAAAATAATATATAAAAATATTAATCAAACCAAAAAAATATATATATAAAAATCTAATGGGACCAAAAGCCATCAGATACGTGCCCCGCAAAAATAATTTTTTGCTGAATATAATAATATACAAAATAATATTATATAAAAATACTAATCCAATCAAGAAATATGTATATAAAAATCTGATGGCTGATTCCGAACAGTGCCGCTGAGTCCCATCACTGTTGCTTCCTACTTTTCTTTTCTCACGCTCAAATCCCATCGCTGCTCTCATTTTTCTTCGGACAAGGATTGTCCCTCTAATTTTCCATGCCCTTCTATGCTTTTTTATTTGTGTAGTCACTGTTAAGTCACGTTAATATTTTATATTACTATTTATTTTTATTTTATTATCTTTATAAAAAATAATATAAAATATTAACGTGGCTTAACCGTGACCACATAAAATAGGAAGGCATAAAAGGGCATGAAAAATTAAAGGGCAGATAATCATTGTCCTTTTTCTTCTTTCACAATTCACACCACAGTTCCAGTTCCAGACTCCAGTGTCAGAATTCCCATCACTCCCGCTGCAATCTACTTTACTTCTCTCTTCCTATTGTTCTCTTTTTCCACAAATTAGTAAATCCTAATTTATAAATTCATGAAATTGAAGAGAAATTTTCGAATATGAAGACAATTCAATTGATCATAATGATATAGATTTCGATTAAAGTTAGATATTTACTAATTTAAGTATATTGACTTGGAATTTGAAGATTTGGGTATTTCTTATTTATAATATTTTTTTTTCTTTTGTACTTTTCAGGGCAAAATCAAGAGGAGAGCAGTCACAAAAAATCAATAGACGCACACGTATTGCAGACTATCAGGTTTCATTGTTCATACTTACTATAATTTTATTGTGATATTGTTTGAGATATAAAAGATGACACCTACTAGAAAATATCAATTTGGCTACTTGAAGCATCAAAGAAAAAGAAAAATTGAACAATTGACTCAGTCTCAAAAATGAGCTATTAATAGGTTATTTTTGAAAGAAAAAGAATCACAAAGTTTATTTTGACATTGTTTTTTAACATCAATACATTGTTCAAATTTTTTTAAGATATCTTATAAGAAGGGCCCCTTTTATGAATTTTGCACAGAACTCCCGAAATCTCAGACTGCTAACACAGATTAATTAACTTAATCCCACTTTTGATCCTTCTAGATCACTTTGCATTATTGTGGAAAACTTGCTGGTCGCAAATTAGTGGGTCCTTGGCGTCTTTTAATTAAAGTCGTAGCCATATTATTAAATTTGAAAACTTTCTTAATCCAACATGAAATGACGATTTAATCCAACGTTATGGACTTCATCTCGAGTCTTCTTATATCTGCAGCTGGCCACAACAAATTCTTTACACCCTCTCTGTATGATTAGCTATCTTGGATGGATAAGGGTGTAATATGAAAAATGATAAACCCATGTCATTAGCTTCTCATATATTCTTATTTAATCATATATGTTGTTTTTGTTTGATTTATTTAATCGACCACCAGAAATAAAAATGGGTATATATAGATTTAAAAAGAGTGTGAAAATCACTTAATAGCAACGGAAAATATGTCGTGTGATAAATTTTTCGGCTTGCTCATAGCTTCCTTGATCATGTCAAATACTTCCTTCGTGTTTCCATGAGTATGTCTGTAAGGAGGGCCTTATACTAGTTCAGCTGTAAATATATGTACACCCAACCATATTCCAAACCTACCCTCCTTATAACCCAATCTAATTTATACCATATATATATGAAATTTTGTAAGTAAACCTACCTCACACCCACCCCCACCGTGTACGTGTGACCATTGCAATGAGAAATATTTAGACTTCTCTACCAAACCAAACCAAATCAAACAAAGCGAAAGATCTTCGACGGATTATTGATTTGTTTTTTCAGAGTTGTTGGGAAGTCAGGCCACCTAATTTGCTTTTTTATAATTTAGTTTACAGCTGAGCTTACTCAATCATTGCAAAGTGTTTTTGTACATGAGAACAGCACCGGCTATGTATACCGGATAGAGCATCTGTTTCTTTGATGCAAGATAAGGGCATATAACATATGGCAATCAAAAATTATAGAACTAGTATAGTTAAAGACAAGATCTACTGCAAAGAAAGACGCATGGATTTATGTTTATTGATTTTTTACTAGAACAATTTCTGTTGAGACTCTTAGTACTACAGAAGGAAGTAATTCTTGATGGGGTAGCCTTCTCCAATGGAACTAATTTCTGGAGCGTTGTTAGCCAATACTTGAATTCACACCATCTGACGGTTCGTATACTTATTTGTTGATTAATGGATTATTCGTATTTTGATCATATCTTAATCTAAACCGTTGAATATTATATAAACCAAAGGCTACTAAGAAGTGTAAACATGTTTGTAAATATATTTGTCTCTTGATTATATTTCTATAATATATATATATATATATAAATACATACATACATACATACAAAAAAAGAGAATGGGACAAAAATGCCTCCCAAACAAAAAAAATTCACAAACAGCTCAAAATAATGCATGAAATAATGTAGGGGTAATTTCGTCATATAAACAGTATTTTTTAATAATAATAATAATTATTATTATTTTTATATACTTGGAGAAAGTGGGAAGAGAGAAAAGAATTAAAAAAAAAATGAAAGAATGAGTAAAAGTTGCTGGTGCCCAAGGGGAAAGGAAAATATAAAAAAAAAAGAGCAAAATCATGAAAGTTGTGCGATGGTGTCAAAAGGAAATGAAAGGAAAATATAATAAAAAATGAGTAAAAGTTTCAGTATTTTCCTATTTAACGTTTCATTTTGTTTACATTAGATAGTGATGATGATCGCGTTTTTTTTATGTTCTAATTTGACTTACAAAAAAAAGAAAATAATGAAATAAAAAATTATTAAAGCAATTCATGCATATAAACATATTTAAAATGTATAAGTTACGCGTAACGCAATATAGCATGTGCATGAAAGCTAGTATTTATATATTTGTGCGTGTGTCACATATCACCCCAATCCTCCACTGTAGCTCCTCTGCTCGAGTCTGCCCTTGCTACCAATCACCATCACATGGTTACCCGTGTAAAGTCAGTATCCAGTGTCCTAAAGAACGCTCCGATGGTACTGTTCGCTATCCTCTTCCTTCAATTCTTATTGCCATGGTTTCTTTTTCTCCTATGGAACCTACCTGCTAAACCCAGGCTGTACGTTCTCCTG